ACTGGGCACAATGTACTTAAATTAAAATATTATAAATACAATGTATTTTAAAGTAAATTACAAGTGCTTTGAGCACAACCTTTCATTATGCCCTTTAATGGCATGCATTGCCCCAGGGGTAATCGGGGCTGCATCAGTGATTTTCTGAATGGCGGCGAATATTGGATAAAGCCGAGTGGCCACACAGTAGTATTTTTTACTCGCACTGGCTATAATCACCTTACAAGGCACTTCTTTGTATCGGTCTTATAGCCGCCATTACCTCTCTCAGATGACCAGATCAGCAACATGTCGTCTGCTCACGTTTCTGGTCAGAGCAGAATATCCCTCTCAGTATTTCTTCGGAGTTGGCAAAGCATCATTTTGTGATACAAACTTAACAAGATCAAATTTCGAGGATCTACTTTGAAGTTGGGAGTTGTACTTTTCTTGGAAAGTACCAGAAACAAAATAGTATAAGTAAAGTTCTATTGCATACTCAGAGAACATACTTCAAGCAAGGACAAGTTTTCTAAACCTACTTGAAGTAGTACTTTAAGTGCCAATGTAGTTAAGGTACTTCCCAACACTGATCTTAGTGTAGCTAACACTAAGCAAAGGCCTCTAAGTTCCTGCAAATTGGCATACAAACCAATATGACAAGAAAATGGGTTGCTGCATTTGGATGAATGTGACTGGAGTGAATTGAAAGAGGACCAGTCATGTGCACTGAGTCCTCTCTCTCCCTGTTTTATACATTCATAGTCTTCCAAGCTCAATATAAACTGTCAGCGCCTATTCATTTTTTTTTTATTTGAATAGCAAAACATTAAGTTTGCTTCCTTGAGTGTATATCAAAACCAGGCATGAACTATCACAGATACATGATTGAAATAACTAAAAAAAGAAACCATGGAAAAAAAACAACTAAATTATAGCTTACGTTTTGATCAACTTTATGAAGGTTCTTTTTAGTAACTTATTTTTTGTAAAATATTTTCAGCAATCTGACAATTAGAAACCACAATTGCATCCACATATTAACTGTGACCTATACACCAACTCATGTTTACAAACAAACCAGAGCGCCCCTAGCGGACGCCACCGGCGCCGCGCATGCGCGGTGGATGGTGGGCAAGAAGCCCGCCGTCGCCCATAAACAAACCATTGAATTGCGTTGTTGTCGGCGTCGGTGGGAGTCCCCGTGCTCTTTTTTCGCGTTGGAATTGTTGATTCTACGTCCTCCTAACAATGTCCGACTACTTGAGCGGCTTCAGCAAAACTAACGAGGTAAAACTTTGCGTGAATAATGTGACGTGCGGCGATTCATTTCACGTGGACGCCGCAGAATGGGCGACGGCTAAAGCCTGACTCCCACGATGAGATTCTGCTTGCTATTTTCAGTCGCGACGTCGCTCGGACTGCAAAAGCGTGGACCGTAGCTGCGATGGTGGACGTCGATACTGAAAACAGCAAGTAGAATCGGGCATTGCAAGTCGGTGATGGCCACTGGTAACAACGATCAACACCTTCCTGTATCTGTTTACACTTAGCCTACTCACCCCAGCCAACCTTCAAAAGTGTTTTGAGGCCTGCACTTAGTTCTTATCGCAATTACCGGGTCAACGTTTGGTTTACGGGCCGCTGTCGTTTAACGAGCTGACGACAAAAAGCAGCCAAGTTAGAAAGAGCTAGCAGACGACAGTTCGAACGGATACGCAATGGAGCGCGGGCAAGAAGCACCGCGTCCTGCGTCAACAAACCATTCGAATGTCACGTTGTCGGCGTCTGTGTGAGTCTGTATACTCTTTTTCGCGTTGGACTTGTCTATTCTACGTCCTCATAGCAATTTCTTACCACTTTAATCGCCTGAGCGAAATTATCAAGGCTCGTTATGCCGCTAAACTTTCCGTAAATAATTTGACGTGCGGCGATTCATTCGCATGAACCCCGCAGAATGGACTCCAAAACCATGATGAGATTCTTCTAGCTATTTTCGGTCGGGATGTCGCTCGTGCTGCAAAAGTGTAGAAGGTAACGGCGATGATCGACGTCGATACTGAAAATCGGAAGCGGGAACAGACCAAGCGTAACAAGTCGGTGATGGCCACTGGTACCAATGATCAACATCTTGTATCTACTGTTTACACCGAGCCTACTTAAGTCTTTTGAGGCCTGCAATTACTTCTTATTGCAATCACCGGGTCAAAGTTTGGTCGACGGGCCGCTTTTGTTGGAACGAGCAGACGACAAAAAGCAGACAAGTTTGAAAGAGCCGACGAAAGTTCGAACGATCAGGCGGCCGTGTGAATTTGAAGACGCACTGAACCCGTGGGTGGTCCGGAAAACTTGGCGGTTTTCTCTCGTTCATGTTGGAGCAAAGCAAACACATCTGGCGATCACAAAGCGTTGCCCTCACACGCAATCGTAGTTCGACAGCGTCTGGTTTGCCCCTTTCACAGCTACTATCCACGTCCTCGGACGAACGGAGGGGGCAAAAACACATGAAAACTGATCTTCAACCCTTCCCAGACTCTCTTGGTACAGCCCCCGTCGCAGCATTTTGACGAGAAGGCAGGTTTTTTGTCTCGTTTCATCCAAAGGAACACAGGAATGCATGTCTGGCACGGCGACTTCTGCCCACCGCCCCAGACCGGAAGTGCGTCCGGCGCGCCACCACCGCGGCGTGACGTAGGAGAGTTGGTGTATATTTAGACTTGTACACATTACTGAAAAAAAAAGTAACCGATTACAATTACTTCACTCTAAAAAGTAACCGATTACAACTACAATTACATCATAAAAAAAGTAATAAAAAATTACTCTAAAGTAATCGATTATTTCCCATGTTACTTTTCATTAAACTTTTTTATTATGGTAGCATAATCCTTGGGGTCTCACACTCAGTTCTTCGGAAAAGAAAAAGAAAGCCTTGACCATTTTTGCTTAGAGCTGAGTGAGTGACGCCGACACACCCAAACGTCTTTCTCGTGGAAAAAAAAAATAAATAAAAAGAGCCCTGTTTAAATACGTTACTCACAAGAGGCTGGATAACAGGCTGAAGTTGAGCTAGTTGGTACATAATTTAGTAAATGGTCAGCTAGAATGATAGGGACAAAACACACACAGGGAGAAACAGAGACATACACACCGCTGACAATCAACTAAGACTTTGTATTTCTTCTTCATCACTTTGACCCAAAGATTCCCACCTAAAGTAATGCCAATGAATCTCCCTAAATCCTTACATTAAAATTCTAAATAAAATTAACTAATTACATTAAATTACTAAATTTGGTCACTAACACCTCCCCGATTCAACCCTGGATAAGGTCATTTTTCATACCCTAACATAGTCTCCGGTGTACAAAAAAAAAAGTACCCAGGATACGAGGCATAGTGAATTGGCCTACTAATCCTCGAGGTCCTGTGCTTAGTGGTTTCAAAAAAGAAAAAGAAAATAACCGTTGCCTAGAGTTGAGTGACTTCAGCACATCACCCCCCCCCCCCCCTCCCCCTCAACAAGAAAAATAAAAAAAAAAGAAGAGAAATTGAGAAAAATTGTAATAGTTAATTTTTTAATCAATTACAGCAAAAAAGTAATTTAATTACAAGGATCGTTACTCCTTAAAGAAAGATAGGGGGCTGACAGGGAATGTAATTGAGGTTCATTATTTCGAAGGAGTGCGATGGTCACGTCAAATGTTGAAGGTGTTTTTATCTTTGTAGCCGCAGTATTAACTTTAATCTCAGAATAGCCAAAAAGATGCACAGCTTCATCTTGTTTCTTGGTTCAGTTTTTGTTATCGGAACTTGAGAAAAGACACACAGAATCTGCATTTTTCTGGGGAAGTGGCTGGATTTTCGCAGCACACTGCAACTGCGAGGTAAACAAAACCTACATCTGTCAGCCCCCTATCCAAGAAAGTGGAACACATGTCCTAGCAAACCCAAGCCAGAAGACATCAGACCGAACCCGTAGCCCCAGAAGCCCCACGATAACACGTTTGATGAACTTCTATGGGGGAAGAGTTTCGAAGAAAGCAGCTGCTGCTAGGGCGGAAATATTTAACGACCAGTGTTTTTAGGTTTTAATAATGGTGAAGATATTCAACCACCGTTGTCTCTCGGTTTTAACCGATTTTGTATTTTCGTCAGCGGCAGCTGTTTATTTTTCGGTTAAAACCGGAAAGTGCACAGCCTAAAATCTTTGGCCATTCATGAAAAAGTGAACTGGATGAAACCAGTGTGTTAGGTTTAATGTGTGCCATGTTGTAAATTGAGCTCTGGCTTGGAGCTTGGGAAAGCAAGAAAAAGAAAACCGGAAATGATATGGCGATAAATCTCTCGTTGCGCGGCGCAGCGTAAAAAAGTAAACAGGAGGACGAAGTTGCCCCAGCGAACGGCAAGACCGGCGAGCCCGGTGCGAGCAAAGATAGCCGTTTGGGCACGAACGAAGGAAATTCAAAATCGCTGGTTGGGCACAAACAAAGGAAATGAAAGACACCGAAACAGAGCAGAAGGGGCGACGAAAAGGAACGCAACGAAAGACGCCAGGCAAAACAACTCTTCTCTGCTTTAACGAAGCTTGTAGGTTTAGAGTAGTAAACATTTCGTATTGGGTTGAAGCTTGTGGTTGTCATTAAACAACATGCCACATATATAATGAATGATTCACTGAGGATGGTGGAAATGGCTAATTCAAACACCTTGCAGCTTTCTCGAAAAATTATTGGCTTGTCTTATCGAAGGAAATGTTTAAATTGAAAGAACAGAATGAAAAGATACTACGTCTGCAAATAAAAAAGGTCATTTGATCAGAGTATCCTCACTTGGGGTCAGCCTAATATCTCTGTGTTGCGTCTTCCTTCGTCTTTTCCCCAGTCTCGGAGGTTTGTCTTAGATTATGTTAAGCCTTCACCAGCTCGTTGTCACCCTAGCTTTTTGTCCGTCAGTATTTCTATCTTTGTTAAATTGTTATACATTGTATTCATTCGACTTTGTCGTCTCTTTCCTTGCAGAGAGGTCGGGGCAGTATTCGTCATTGTACCAATCCCGACACCCTTCCGGTAAGGTCTCATGATCACTCTCCAGACACATTCGTAGATGGGAACTGTTACGAAAGCAAACATCTCTAGTCAAATCTTTGTTTAGTACTAATCTTATGTAAGCTTCTTCAAAACTGACACAAATTAAACTGACTTAGCAGGAGAGTGATGCACCTGCTTTCTCGATTCTAAGAGAGGTTCTACACTGAACTATTCTAGATTTGCTTTCTGCTTTTTAGTGCGTGTGTACTAGTTGATGTTATTGTAAACATCAATTAACTAGTGAACAGAGCAGGGCATAAAAACCTTGTCAGTGATGATTAACTCTCAGTAATATTCTGACGTGTAGATTTGCTAACTACCTTTCATAATTTGTCTATATCGTAGTATAAGGATGACGACCACTATTTCTGGCCTTTCCATTCTTTTCACTGTAATACACAGTAACACTTTGTGTGTGTAGTCTCTGTTAGTATTGTGTTGTGTGATGCTCGCTTGTTCTTGGTTTGGGGGTGGCTTTTAACTTGCAGACTAAGCTTGCACTTATTTTTCTGCATAACTTCATCTCATGTTCTAGGTGATCTCAACTTTAAGTCATATAGTTATGCATAACCACATGTTGCTTTTAACCATGAAACCAAATGGTATGGGCGGTTTTCTGGTACCGTATTTTCCGGTGTATAAGATGCGCTTTTTTTTCCAAAATTTTCGGCGGTGCGTCTTATATACTAATTTTTACTTAGAAACTTGCAAAAAGTAGGGGGTGTGTCTTATAGACGCTTTGCAGCAGCCGTGCATGGACGCCGCCATAACTGACCTTCAGTTTTTGTTTCCTCTTATTCTGTTTATTTCACTTCATCATTACCATAGCAGGCCACGTTATTGCCATATTAGATTCAACTGTGTCCCTTTCTAAAGCATCGGCCTTTGTAGAGGATCGTCAACTACCGTTTCAGTTGCTCGGCATCTCGATGAGACAAGAGAAGGTCAGCAATGGCGGCTGTAATTTGTCGCATGTGTAAAGCGTCTATACAACGGTGCGTTTTATACACCGGAAAATATGGTAATGTTTTATATCTCGATGCAAATGACTCATCTTCAACAACTTCTAGCTGCTTTCATTGGTCGTGGTATTTTTGCCATTCCAACAATCTAGTTAACTGCTCTTTCTCCACATGCCTCAACTTCATGCTTCACTACTTCTCACTGATATTGCTTTGTAACGGCTGGAACTTTTCAACACCGATGGGTGTTTGGTGCGATCCTGCTTCTCACACATTACCGTGCATTGAAAACTGTGGGTATGGACGTCTTCTCTCACTTTTTACCGCTTCTTCAGCTGCTGACAGCAAAACAAGCAGCCTTTTTATGCCACGGTAACTTTGCTGTGTTCATAAGCAAAACGCCTGCGGTGATGGGTCCCTTGAAATCTGCAAGCACAGCGTCCTTCGGCGAACAAACCCAACTACAGAGCTGACAACTTGCTGGTGGGTTCACCCTAATCAAGATGCTCTATTAACTCTAACCCCACGAGCAAGCTGTGGTTTATCTTTGGTTTTGGCTTTATCACACAAAATAAAACAGAGTCCAAGGAAGACGGTGGAACTGAGAGTCGGCAGCGTCATGTCGTGGAAGATTCTGTGGACTGGAGGACGGCCAGAGGTCGCCACCGAGCCGAAGACAGTCGCGGAGGTGCATCTAGACATTCTTCTGAAGTTGATATTCAGGAGACACGGGAAGACCGGTGGCCCGGACCGGATGGACAACGATCCAGCTACAGTTCCCGCAGGTACCACCAGACACCTCGAGAGTCCGAAGAAGAAGAGTCTGACGACACCAGGACCAACTACACGCGTCGGCGGTATTCCGTGTCTGCAGCTGGCTCCAGGGGACACCTCAGCGGGACGGAGCGAGGCAGCCGGCAAAGGTCCGAAGCGGATCTCTCGACGGCTAGTCGCGGCTCGTTGGATCACTACGCCGATCGAGACCAGTGGTCCGGCCGCAGCAGCAGTACCACTGAAAAGCCGGAGGAGGACAAAACAGGAGCCACGTACGTCCGGCAGCGTTACTATTCGATCTCGTCGAGAAAAGTCGAAGGTGTTGCCGAGTCTGCGGCAGATCTGAGCAAGCAGGTGGGACACGAGACTTCTTTGGAGCATCGTCGAGAGGGAGGCGGCGGACGCCAGACCGAAGTAGGATCCTCGGAGCGCGTTTGGACTTCAGGCCGAAGAACTGGCTCCGGGGAAGACTACGGAAGCTCGCGCTGGAGGCAACAGCACGGTTCGACGGCGGACGGCAGGGGTGGGTCCGACGCCACGACCGAAGGTCCATATCGCTCTCGAGAATGGGACTGGCGAAGTCGCACACGACGTCCCAGCACTTTCGATCAAGACACTCGGACCGGTGGAGACATGTCGCGGACCCACGTGGAGTCTTCGGAAGTGGGTGGAGCACACCGAACCTACCAGAGGTATCGGGAAGGCACATCGATCCGCGAGAGGCACCGCGTGGCGTCCACGGGTTGGCGCAACGCTTCTTCCGATCTCGGCGGCGAGCCGACGGCCTGGGAAGAGGACGCCCGACGCCGGTACGGAACCCAGGAAGGCATCAAGGGAGGTCATGGTTCGTCGGAGGACGGTGGAAGGTCCAGCTACTCTCGGACGTCCTACACGCGTCGCACCAATGGGACGTCGTACCGTGGTGGGACCTACTACTCCCGCTGGGCGGCGGGTGGACGAGAAAACGTCACCACCACCGGCGGCAGCTCCTTGTCTTACGGGGCAAGCCGGACCAGCGGAACTTACGGGGGATCTGAAGACAGCCTGTCTGGGTACACGCGGCGGGGGACGACCCAGGCGCCCACCGTTATCGATCGGGTGGATGTCGTCGTGGAAGAGAGGCACCCTCTGTCCGGTAACAAGAGGAGGTTTTTGTGGGGACACTAACGTGGTGCTGGTACGACTGTTGGCGCGCGTGGAGGTGACAACTAACCCAGTGAAATCGCTGCAACCGTGGGACATTGATCCTTGGTACAGTGAGGTTCTGGAGTTTTATCAGAGTTTGGCGGTTGTCTCTTGCATCCAACCAGGTTAAGGATAAGTGTGGCACTGGGTTGAGAGATACCAAGCTTCGAGAGGTCGGTGAATATAGGAGACGTTGCTCTGGTGACTCTTTTTACTGGTGGATTTGGAGGATCGGATCTGCAGATGCTGTTTCAGCAAGGGTGAGGCTGGGGGAGGTTGGGTATATTTGCGGTATCTGGTTTTTGGCATCTCTTTCTGACATGATTTGGTGTAACGAGTAGGGGTCTTCTTTTTCTTCAAGGTCAGTGTTTATTCTGAATGGGTGCAACTTTGAGGGAAAAAATAACATAAATTAGCCTGCAGTGGTGCACGAAAGTGCAGCAGTTCAAATGTAAGAAATGTTTTCTTAGTTGCTTGAGCCAGGGCCGTACCCAGAAAAAAATTTCGGGGGGGTTTTCGGGGACAACGGCGGCCATTTTGTCTTATTTTCGCCTATGAATCATGTGCATCGGTGGCATATAATGGAGAGTTATAGCAAACTGAAGAACCGGTCCCGGTTTGGTACCCGGTAGCCGACCGGTGCCACTGCGCGTGCGCAGAGGTGGAGATTAAAATCGGCTGGCTGCAAGTGCACCGACCAGGGCCGTACCCAGAAAAAAATTTCGGGGGTGGTCAGAACCCCCTAACCCCCCCCCCCTGGTTACGGCCCTGGCTTGAGCCTGTCTAAGTGTATGTTATTGGAAATGTAAAGGCCATATAGGGGGTTGTGGAGTACGTGGGAAACATCTGTTAGACATAATAACAGTCTTTAATGTAAACAGCATACAGTCTCATTCTGGGTAGAAATTTACAGTAGCAAATTACCTCAAACAAAATTACCTTATTCCTTGTGTGACATTATAAACTTGACTCTGAGTGGGGCATTTTTGTTTGGTCATGCGTGCGGCGCAGCTTTGTAATTATAGCAGTTCCTTTTTTTACTGGTGATAACCGGTCACATTTCACGCTATGTGTCCCAGTTTCCTGGTTTGCATGGTTTTATGTCCTCGTCTATTTTTGCTGTCGTGAGGATCATAGAGCTAGGACATATCATACCTCAGGGAAAGTTATGTTCATAGTTTTGTACCTTGTAGACTACTCGTACCACAGATGCAGGACGTTTTCTCGAACAAGGTCGACGCCGAAGGAAGCCTAATTGGCACGTCGGTGTGCACGCAGGCTCGTCGCGGGGCAGCCAGCCCCAGGCGTGCGAGGAGTCGAGCTGCTACCCGGCCACAGGGAACCTGCTGATTGGCCGGGAAGACAAGCTGTCGGCCACGTCGACGTGCGGCCTCAGAGCCCCTGAAGCCTTCTGCATCGTGAGCCACCTCAAGGAGCGCACCAAGTGCTTCCGCTGCGACTCCCGCTCCGAGGGACGCAACTACCACGGCATTGAGAACATTGTATCCAGGCAGGTGCTCTTGCGTGCCGGCGGTTCTCAGACTTGTGTGTGTTTTCGCTCTCCGCTTGTCCGAAGGGGCTCGAGTCCTCGCGGTATTATTTGTTGAGCCGACAGTCCGATGTTTGGCGGCCTACACCGCCGCGGTTGAAGTGTCACATTATCTTGCCATGCACTCGTGTCCCGTGTGTCACTCCGTGACCGCTCGTCACGAGCCTGCCGCACCGTCACCGAAGTCCTCCAAGTGTCCAAATCCCCACAAACTTCTAACACGGAATGTGTTGAAGTTAGAGAGCTGTCGTTTGGCTGTATTTTCATGCATAACGTGTATACCAGTATTTTGAACACATTTCAGACGGTCCACAAAAATAGGTTTTTCAACCTCTCGGACTACAGAGGTGTGGCTAATTTAAAGCGAAAATGTCAACAAACAAACTTGCCTCGCTCAAAAAAAAAAAAAAAAATTCACAAAGTCTTTTTTGTTTACATTAGGATGGCTTGAAGGTGAAAGCCCAAGCGCCGATGTAGATGTGATAGTGAACCTCCGAAGACCGTGCGCTTTCTGACGGCGCACTTTTGGCGCTGTTTCGTTGACTCCCTCGGATCGTGGCGTCGGCTCTGGCCCCGGCGATAGCGAACCTCGGAAGACAGCGCGCTCTCAGACGATGCACTTTTGGCGTCGTTTCATAGGTACCTTTTGTTTTGGTACCCTTTCGTGTCACCGACATGTTTTCGCTCAAGGACTTTGAAGGTCGAGTGCACATTAGGTGTTCTTAGAGGACGTTCCCCACTCGTTCCTGTTTGTCAGGATTGGCGGCAAGCGGCACAAGGGATCTTGGTGGCAGTCCGAGAACGGAGTGCAGGGCGTCTCCATCCGCCTGGATCTGGAAGCCGAGTTCCACTTCACCCATCTCATCATCACTTTCAAAACTTTCCGACCGGCTGCCATGCTCATCGAACGGTCTCACGACAACGGGAACTCTTGGAGGGTGAGTACTGGCGCTGCCGTACAGGTTGTCATTTGCTCTGTCATTTGCTCGTCCATACTACGGCTCTGTGTACATCATGGGTTTTCAAAGCTCGAGTTCTCTCTCGAGTGACGGTCAAGGGGCCCTTCCCAGCGCAGGGTGTAAGCCTACAAGCCCTCTAAGCAATAATTCACATACTAGGAAGTGATTGACTCATAGTAACGTAACAGTGAGTTGCTCAGATCTATTAGTGTAGTGCTCAGGCAGGAAAAGTGCCTTACATAAGGGCGGAAACTATCGAAGACATTTGGGAGCCTGGGATATCACCTCTGAGGGTACTTTGAGGAACCCCTATGAACCTAGCTTGAAAGAGTGGTTTATGTGGGTGAAACGGCATTGGCTGGATCTGAACTGCTGTTTTCACATTTATGTAAATGAACTTATTGTGTGTCTTCCCTCGATGGTCCTCTAGTAATCAGGACTGTTATGAGAGCTGATGTGAAATTCTTTTACTGCTTAATGCACTAATAATGATGCACTTACATTACAATAATTGTCCATATTGTAACGAATAAAAATAAAATGCGATTGTGTAAGCGAAAGTAAACATTTAATGAGGCAAACATGTGCCTACAAACGTGAAAGGTGCCAAGCATTTTGCGTTGGCGATGGGAGGGCGACTTCCCAAGCAGCGTGTTACTGCTGCTTTTATCCTCGCGGTATGTTTAGGTGTGTTCCGAAACAGAACAGTAGCTGACACCCGAGCATGAGCCTTTCAGAAACGTACATACAATATAAAACAAGGATCTGGGCCGAACGAAAGTTTGCACGAGGTTCCAACCCCATTCTTTCGCATGGCAGCCACGTGTGTTGCCAACTTCGCCGCGAACATGACAATGTTGCCACGCGTATCATCGAGCGAGCGCTTGCTTGGCCGAATGGTTACCGCACCTGACTGTTGCGCGGAAGGTCTAGGTTCGATTCCAGTCAGCGGAATGTCTTTTTATTTATTCTTTCTGCTCTGCAATCTTGTTCGATAACATTCTCGTCTGACCGGGTTCCGAATGCTCTACGCACCGAGAGTTCTTCGTCGAATGTTCCAGAAACCCACGCGGGTCCTTAAGGGGCTCTGCATGGCGAGGGGAGTCAGTCTTGTTGCAGTGCTTGATCCTGCTGTTTCGCCGACATCGACGCCTGCGACGCTAACTTACTTTTATTTTGTTTTGGGCACATGTTCGCCTCTTTAAACGTTTAGTTTCTTCAGTTATTCTACGGCTTATCATTTGTCATTCGTGACAATATTGCCGCGTGCATGGTTGGCTTAGCACGCGTGGCTCCAATATGGAGGAACAGGGTTCAAACCCTCCCAAAGTAGTTTTCTCTTCCACTTTTTGTAACACTTCTAGAAAGTCCCAGTTCGTTCTCGACAGTTGCCATGTGTTCTAGTTAGAACCTTCCGTAACGTAGACTGTGCATCAAAGCAGTCCAAGCATGCTGCCCATCTGGTCAATCTTAAAGGGGCGATGCAACAATTTTTGTACTTTGCCCAAATACCGCTTAGAACGGATCCCTAACATTAATGACCTATGAAAGACGCATTCGTTTTTCACTTCACGCAATAGAAGTCCCAGAAAAAAATTAAAGAAAAACGAGCAGCGCTCACCCCCTCAACTCGCAGCCAGAACAAGCGGCCACGTGATCTGGAGCTGATTATATGCCGCCAATGTTGATCATAGCCACGCGCTGGGGTTGGCAAAGCACAGGGCATGCGCTGAGTTCCAGATATTGTTATGGCTCGGCTATTGTCGTCGTTGCAGCGATTGGACACGGGCCACTACCCGAATGCTTCTCCAGCTAGTAATTATCACGAGCCCAAATCGAGTGCCCACGCAATGCTCGGGTCCAATCTATGAACAGCATTCAAATATCGTCATATGGGTGTACTGCGATCTCCCTGTTACGTCATGAAATTTTGCAAAGGAGAGATTGAATGAAAGTGATCGCTTTTGTCCTTGAAATTACACCGCAACAAAGAAGTTTCTTGGCCAGCGGAGTTGTGTGCGAGTATCCTTGACTCCCACTAGTGCCAGTAAGCTCGTGTATAGTGAAAAACATTCCAACTGAATATCGTTGCACAGCTCCTCTAAGCTCACACTCGATCCCACCGTTATGCCAACCTCGATGCCTGCGAAGCCAATTATTGTATTTTTGTTTTGATGCTACTTCTTAACATTAAACTTTTAGTCTTCTCAGTCATTCCTGCCTGGTCACCTGCCATGCATAACAATATGACTGCACAAAGTTAGTCTGCCATTAAATAAGCAGCTTGTGTCTGGACTCTAAAGGAGCAGCTTGGCTTTTGTGGTCCAGCTGCTTGCCCGTGGTTTTCAATAATATCAGTGTAGCCGAAATGACTGTCACCTAACCCACAGGTTCTCAAACTAAATCTCAGGAATCGAGGGGTTCCCGAAAGTACCCTTATAGGTTTCCTGAACTTCCAAATTTTCGTGACCGTCCTTGTTTCCTAGTAAAGGGTTTATCTAGTTTAAGCGCTATTTCAGCAGACCAGAGACACTCCCTTGTACACAGCTATGAGCCATATACTCCCTAGTATGCACATGACTGTCCACAAGGTCTGCAGGTTGCATTCAAGGCAGAGGGCGCTCCTTCAAGGTTGTAGAGTTTGAGAACCCTTGGCCTAAGCAATGCACTTCTAATTAGAGAACTAAGTTGATATGGCCAGGGGTATGCCGACTTTGGCACTACTGACCTAGTTCTATAACTAGGTCAGTATTGTCCAGGAAGTCGAAGCGGTCAATATTGTTTTGGTTTGGTTCAGGCTTGGTAGCTTAGAATTTTATTCTGGTTTGGTTCCGGTTCAATGACGCATTCGAAATAAGGGTTCGGTTACCGGTTCCACCAAGTGCAAAACGGTTCAAACCAGTTCCTAAAATGAGAAGTTCACCGCTTCCAGTCATTAAGAAAAAAGGATGAGCCATTCCACTTTGCCGTTTAACACACGACACAGATGTGACACAGAATTTCAAACAAAGGTACAAACACATTTATCGTCTTGATCGGTGGTCATCGTCCCGCACACTTAGGGGTTTTCGACGTCCCCAGCATCCGGAAAGGAATCCGACAACACTTGCAGCGCACGAGTCAGCTTTGCAAGATCCCGCACATTGGCATTCTTCGTCAAGTCGTTGTCGAACCACAGTTGATCACACACCCTACAACTACACCCAAACTGTCTGTCCAGAAAGTCCCTTTTGAATTTAGCGTATGCTCCATTAAAGTTGTCCAATTTAGCAGCATGGTACCTGCATCTTTGTGATGCGTTCTCCACCCCGTGACGTTCGTCATCCTGTCTGGTTCACTGCATGCGCTTGGCGTTTTGCCACAATCTTCATTGGTGGTATTTGCTGCCCACCGCCGCTGCTGACATTCTTGTTGCCATTCGCGCCATTGCTCTTCGTAGGCGCGTTGCTCTTCGGAATTCCAGATTATATGCAGCCCCCCAATACGACGAGCGAAATGAAATTGAAAATGGAGATCGGCAACTTGTCTTTCTGGTTTTTTATATACATTCGCATGAACAACTAGACATGCACAGCCAGGTGGAGCTTGTCGCACGTTGCGCGAAATTCAGGATCTGAGTTTTTGTTGACGGACATGAAGAATCTGTGGAGCCCTAGCCATAAACAGCTTCGCTGTAAAAATTTGTTCAGCACGGCGTCATCTGTATTAAAAGAAAAAAAACAAGTCATTAGAAGACGTGCTGCAGAAACAAGGACAGCAAAACAAATATATGCCTAATTTTGTTTTGTGATCTTAACTTTTTATCGCAAACACTGTTTGCTGCAAATTACAGTTATACATGCACTCGGAAATAGTACCAACATACAGTACTCACATATGAAGTCAGTCTACCAGCACGCACAGCTACGCTGTGACGGTAGCCTGCACCACCTTCGTAAACTACCCACCCCGCCAGGCCTGGATGCCTTGCTCGAATGACTGAGTTGATGAGGTGAGGGACAGCAAAGGGCAGTCGAAAGATCATTAAAACAAAACAAAGATTAAAAAGTTGTATTTTTCGCCCACAATGTGCAAAAGAACGAAAGCGATAGCTGTAGAACAGTCGCACAATGCGGATGGAATGGTGCCGTCACATACCTGACGACGGAGGTGCGATGTGGTTAATTCTCATAGTTGTCGTGGTTGGCATTGTGGATGCCACTGACGACTGCCACCAGGGATCCATGAAGTAAGTCGGTAAGCACGGCGGAAGTTTCTAAAACCATCCAACATTATGCATAGCCACTCGATACTGCCAAAGTAGGATTTCACCTAATGCGAGTAATGTTTGGAAACAACTGTTTGAAGCAGACGACAGAAAGAATCTCCCTTCATTGCGCCATCCTTGGCAGGATGCCAGGGGTCCCTCTTTGCTCTCTTTGCACAGCATGGCCGACGGGAGGTCCCGACTTCCTCTCCTCGCGCTAAGAGGGCAGAGAAGAAAGCCCTTCTTCGCGAGCAGCGACAGCAGCCGACGAAGTCTAAATCTCTGCAAAGTGTTGCCCCTTAAAGCTACCACTTTAAAAACAAATGGACTCTACGAGCTTCAAATGGCGTCCAGGGCTCTGTGCGATTGGCATCCCGGCAAAACCGACATTGCAGTGTCGTGCTTGTTGTGGCTTCGACTCTTGGCGCCTCCAGATTCTCCGTTACGGAACAAACATGCCAACAGCCGTCGACGTTTTTTTTTACTCTTGGGGGCCCGTTTCCGGCCTGAGCGGCGTCGCCGTCAACGTCGCCGTCGGCGTAACCGCGTGGTGCATTATGGGAAATGTCCCATAATGCACCGCGCAAGCCCCCCACCGGGGTCACGTAACCTCGTGGGGGGCACGTGACCCCCCCCCCCCCCGAGATCACGTGACCCCCGCCGATGTCGCGTGACCCCCGGTGACGTCGTCGTCACTGATGACGTCATCGTCACTGATGACGTCACCGGCATCCACATCGTCATCGTCATCATCACTGATGACGTCATTAGTGACGTCACTGATGACGTCACTGGCATCCACATTGTCATCGTCATCATCACTGATGACGTCACCGGCATCCGCATCGTCATCGTCATCATCACTGATGACGTTACCGACATCCGCATCGTCATCGTCATCATCACTGATGACGTCATCAGTGACGTCACTGATGTCGTCAACGGCATCCACATCGTCATCGTCATCATCACTGATGACGTCATCAGTGACGTCACCGACATTTGCATCGTCATCGTCATCATCACTGGTGAAGTCATCAGTGACGTCACTAATGACGTCATCGGTATCCGCATCGTCATCGTCACTGATGACGTCATCAGTGACGTCAGTGATGACATCTTTGGTATTGGGGGGGTCACGTGACCCCCCCTGTTTAGTTGAACCCCCCCCCCAGTACCCTTCCCTCCTCCTCCTCAAGAGCTGCACTGTAATTCGGCGTTACATGGAGTTGTAAGCGGCTTTCACTTTTTTTTATTTTTGTGGTTGCTTTCTCTTTTTTTGAGGAATATTGCTTAAGAGCAAGAAAAGAAAGACTTGCACACAAAGAATAGCTGTTTAGCCTCTTGGCATAGTCAGATACTTTGTTTCACCTTACGATGTACCGTGATGGACACTACAAGCTTCACGAGCCGATCCATAGTTTGTAGCTTGTCACGACCCTTTGCGCTCCCTGCGTTGCTCCGCCCAACCGGAAAGACACGTGACACTCTTCGAGCTATGAATTGGCTCCAGTGGGTCGTAGCGTCCTTTATGGTTCAACGTAAGGTGGAACTGGGTATGGAACTGTACTTATACGTGGTGGCTCGCCGACGCCAAGTCGTGGTGAACTTAGACGTGAAATATATTAATTTTAACAGAACGGAAATCTGGGCTAGTTGGTACGTATTCATAATATAAACAGCGCGACTGGCAAGGACGAAGAAAAGAGAGACTAGACGACACGAGCGCTGACTGACAACGGGCGGTTGATTAGGCCAAAATTTTGTGAAGGTGCCAAAAAAAGACTTTGTGATATGCGATCGCGATTGCTTCTTAGGCAGAGGGTCATTTTGTTTGTTTTCTTTTTGGTTTCGTAAAAATAAAAAAACCGTCAGTTGTCAGCCAGCGCTCGTGTTGTCTAGTCTCTCTTTTCTTTGTCCTTGCCAGTCGCGCTGTTTATATTTTGAATATATTGTTTCTGTTACTATTGAGCTGTCTAAACATTGCTGCCATTTGTTCAGTCAAAACTGCGTCGCTGGCTCGAATGCCGTGAATAGTACTTAATTGAGCTGATGCCGCCACCTGCGAGAAGGCTGGCTCACATTTTATTTCACTGAACGGTTTTCCAGTAAAGCGGTAACCGCAACAAAAGACTGCGGTTTCGTTCCGGTTCGGGTTCATTATCGAATGTCTGATTTCAATTACAGTATTCTTCCGGTTCGGTAAAAATAACGGTTTCGCTCTAATAAGGTTGATAGCTGGGCTAGTTGGTAATCGTTGTACATAATGGAATAAAACAGCACAAAAGATACAAAAGGAAGAGAACCCAAACAGGACAGGGCGCTGACTCGCAACTAAATCTTTGAGTAAAGAAGCTTTAGTTGTAAGTCAGCACTCTGTCCTGTCCGGTTTGTCTCTTCCTTTTGTATCTTTTGCGCTGTTTTATTCTATTATGTACAACGATTTTGCTCCCGTTTTCGGCTCTGGTTCGGTTCGGTACCCCGGTATTGTCCAAGGTAACGCTGACCTAGTTCTAAAATTAGGTCAGTATTTCTCAATGCTAACCTAGTTATAGAACAAGGTCAGTACTGCCTGGATACCTCCACTACAAGTTGTAACCATAATCAAATTTCGTGAATCGGCGTTGGCGTTAACACGTTTGGCCCTCGATCACTGCTTGCAGGTGTACCAGTACTTTGCCTACGACTGCGCTGACAGCTTCCCGGGGGTGCCCACGGGGCCGCGGCGCAACATCACGGACGTGACGTGCGAGACGCAGTACTCGGGGGTGGAGCCCTCGAGCGGCGGGGAGGTGATCTTCCGGGTGCTGCCCCCGCACATTCCCATCGACAACCCGCACAGCCCGGACGTGCAGAACCTGCTCAAGATGACCAACCTGCGCATCAACTTCACCCGGCTGCACACGCTGGGCGACAACCTGCTCGACTCCCGGCAGGAGATCAAGCAGAAGTACTACTACGCCGTGTACGACATGGTCGTGCGGGGTTCCTGCTCCTGCTACGGCCACGCCAGCCGCTGCATCCCCGAGGAAGACGACCACCGTGGGGGCCGGGACGACATGGTAGGCTTTTCTCTGCCCAGCCTCTGAGCATTGGAAGTTGGTCGGTGGCAGTTGTGGCCGTTCCATAGAAAGTGCTACAATTTAACGTGGTATCTGTATAGGCTGGGGTTGCACGAAAAATTTCTCTATAAAATGTGTGCTGTGCAGAAGTGTAACTCAGAAATGTAATGTGAAAGCATAATGCGGGACACTAAGTTTAGCGTGAAGTGTTTTCCTGCTAATTTTGATGGGAAAGTCTGAATTAATATATAAATACACCGATTCAATTCAGCCACTAAATTTAGCAAGGAAATGCTTACCGTTGAATTTAACGGGACATTCTAAATTTAGCAGAAGTTAGCGTGATTTCCAAGATCGGAAAAGCTTATAAATAAACTCTGAGTGCAGTTCAAGATACGCTGCACCCTCTTCGTGTGTACCAACAACTTCCTTCGTAGGATTAAAATCTTTTATGTGGAGATTCATTTTATCTGGCACTAACTGTTTCAGAACTCTCTTTTATCCAGCGTGAAAATGAGTGGAAAATGAGCTCGGGCATGCATCTTGTATTTGCACATTTGGAACCCTGCCATCTCTTAGGGAAATCGGAAACGCTGGGTGCAGGAGTCTCGAGTGCAAAAATGGCTTCAGAATGCAATGCTTTTTTTTTTTTTTTACGTTTTGAAATTTGAATAATTAGAGATGAGCACGGCTTAGGTCAGAGAGCAAAAATGCGGGTGGGGCACAATGCAGTGGGGGCATCACTGCTTTTCACCGATGCGTGTACATCAATCATCACTGCTTTACACCGGCGCACGCACATCAGGCTTCACCACTTTGCACAGATGCAATTGGAGGAGTGGCACGAAGGAGCCATTTAGCTAGGTTGGCGCAGAAGTCTGGTGTATGGGCTTAATATGTATAGTTCGTTTATTTTCGAACATTTTAAAAGTAGCGGGTGGCCATTTTTTGCTACATTGGTGTGTGCTCTGTATTTTTCGGTATACCATTTTACTTGAATCCTAACAATTGTCTAGTTTTTCTTTCTCTCTTTTGCCACATTTCTAGCGTAGGAATTGTGTGGTTAGTAGGTATGATTTTAACTAAGTCTTGAAACATATCTCGCTCCACCCTGCCTTTCTTAGGCAACATGCAATCTTGTGTCAAAGGCAACGAAGTAGTGAATGCGAGCAGGGAAACTAATCACATTCCAGTCTAGCAGTTGTCAACCTGGTCAACACCTGCCTCAGCTGAAGTGAGACTGCCTCAGGAGATGAACTTTTCATTCTGCTCTGCTGCTATGCAGAGAAGTCAATGAGCAGGGTGCCTGCACCTCTTTGTCAACTTAATTTTGTAATTTCTTATGAACTTTTGTGCAGGAGATCCCTAGCCTGGCTCTTAGGGCGCTGCTCCTCTACGGTGTCATCTCTTTGGGTGACATGGTCATTGCTGAATGCATTGCTCCTGAATATTAATTCCTGCAACTTACATTTATTTTTGCGATTTACTTTTATTCCAACAGTTTGTGATGTCATTTCTAGCGGCTGCCATGTCAGTATCGGTGATACTTCTTTAGCATTTCCGTTTCAATTTGTCACAATCTTTGACAGGTCTATGGCAAGTGCCAGTGTACGCACAACACCAAAGGACTAAACTGCGAAAGCTGTGAGGAGTTGTACAATGACCAGCCATGGAGACCAGCCAGCGAACACGACCCCAACCCTTGCAAGCGTGAGTTACCGGTTTGCAATATTGTAGTACATGTTTTGCTTACTTTTGAGCACCGATGTTCACATACTTGCACAACTTCTTCAATCAATTTGGTATTTGATGCTCACGCAGAATAGATATCGGTAGGCACCAACCTTACCTCGGTAAAGAAAACGGGGCTGTAGACTAGGGTAAAATGTGGTAGCTTTTCGATGTGGCATCTATGAAGGACATATTCCGTCGATTGAATCGAGACAAACCTCATGACTTCATTCGGTCTACAATTGTAGCAGAACAAGCCTATCTTGCCTTTCTGTTCCTAGCCAAATGCTGTTCTTTCCTTTCCGGCATCCCATTGGCACGACGAACACGCTTATCCCCAAAGGGCTGCCGCTTTTGTTCAGTGTTGTCTTCTTCACTGCACTTCTTTCTCTTGCATGGCATCGTGAAGATGACGATAACACTTCTAGGAAGCGTATAACTTGTGTCATAGGCCGCTTTTGAACGTCTGCGAAAGCTGTGGAATTTCTGCACAATCGAAGGTGAGGAGCTCCCAGGCAAGAGCTCCTTGCCTTTGATTGTGCCGTAGCTGCTCAAGCCCTCGTGCGGTGCGAGCAAAATTCGAAGCCACCCGCTCACGCCACAGGCAGGCTTCGCGGTGTTGGTCACTGAAAGCGATGTTGCATTTAGTAACCACGGTTCAACAATGTTTCAACGAGTCTCCTTTTTGGCAACAATAAAGAACAAAAACTTCCCTTGGAGCACTGATTGGGCGTGGAACTCACAATTTCGGGTTCCTGGGTTCGATTCCCCTCGAGGGACGTTTGGAATTTAGTTATACCTTCTCAATTCATCCACTTATCACACTCTCGGGCATGCGCATTTGTTTTGTGTAACAATGCAGAATTTTTGCAGGAAGGCTGCCAAACGAAATGCTACTGCATTTAATAAACCCTGAAGTGTTTCAGGAGCAACACTCACCGTGCTCACCACCGAGGCACTTTGAAAAAGATGAATATCGTAGTTCATTTCAAAGCGAATATTGAATGGCGTATTATTCAAAAATGCTATTTGAAAATTCAAATGTTCACACAATCGTAAAATCTTATATCCCACACGTGCCGATCCTCCCACTCGTTCCAGAGTGCAACTGCAACGGCCACGCCAGCCGGTGCCACTTCGACGCAGCCGTGTGGGAACGGTCGGGGCGGGTGAGCGGCGGCGTCTGCGATGACTGCCGGGACAACACGATGGGGCTCAACTGCGAGCAGTGCGTGCCCTTCTACTACAAGGACCCCCAACGGGACCCCTCAGATCCCTATGCCTGCCAGCGTGAGTGCCTCTGTTGTGCAGAGTGGGGCAAAACCCCTTCTCTGTCTTGCGCAATTTTTTTTAGCTAATGCAAACAACTTTATTTTTGAAAATTTTGTAGGTTGTGGGCTTCGGAAATATTTTGTGGGCACCACATTTTGCGATTGGAAATGGTGTGCTATGCATTCATTAGCGGGGGTGGGGGGGGGGGGAGTGATTTATTAATGCGAGCAATTTTTCGCAACGTGTTTTTGAGTCACCAAAATTAGAACCTTGCAAAATTTAAGTCTTTAGCAGTATGTGAGGACTACAAATCTCCGTAATATTACCTCAAACTTGGAGATAGACATCTATCATTTGTGCAATAGCGACTCCAGTTATTACTAATTTAAATGCAAAACATGTTGTAGGGCTGGTTCCTAATGTCGCGAAAAACCGCTGCACACCACTAAATTTTAGTGAGACCCGTGGTGGCTAAATTTATCAGACAAGGCATTGCCTGCAAATTTGGCTGAAATAATAAATTATTACTACTTAACAGTAATTAATTATTTACAGGGAGGGAAATATATGGTCCTTCTACTGCTCAATCTGTGTCTCCTGACTTTATCCATTGTATCAAAGTACTTTTTGAAGAGGGCACATGAGCCTAAATTTCAAATTTTTTTGAAAAAATTCATTTTTCAATTTTAAGGTTTTCTGTTTTAGAAACCAATTGTACGCCCTTACACTAAATTTGATAACCATATGCCCAATAGTTACTTTGATCTAAAATATTTTCAACACATTGTGAGGCAGTAACAAAGTAAAGGAGTTCAATGTTTGAATGCATTTTTCTCAGTTCCACTTTTTGCTGTAAATTTCATACGAAGGAATCTTTTGTGCGAAGGTGAAAGTATTCTGATACCACAGTCAACATGTTCCTGAGCTGAAATTTACTAGGGAATCGGGCTATCTACTTTATTTTGTTTTAAGATGAAGTCCTCAGTGATAAAAAGCCTAGTTTTCAAATGTTGACATAGGACAGATTTGCATCTCATGTTTTGAGGTAACAACTCTTCCTGAAATATTTACATTAGAGTTATTAAAACTAGATAGCCCGAAGTCCCATATCCCCCACTTTATATTCAAGCAGTCAAAAGGGTGCTTAATAGCTTCATTTGCATATCATAGATTTCTTAAGGAAGAGTGCCACATCAACTTATGCAGGTATGTAAATTTGTCTTAGAGAGCTGAGAGTTTGCACAGTACACATGCGTCTGAAGTTTAATCTCCCCTTCGAATTTCATTCCGATCACTTGAGTAGTTTAGAAGTTCAATCTCTAGCCAGTGTCCCCCTTAAATGCGTTTCGTCCTTGCCCCTTGCTGGTCGACTGCTCAGAGCCAGTCGTGAGTTTGTACCCAGATTGCAACATCCGAATCCTGCCAAATACCGAGCAAGCACCCACCCAAAATTTGAAGATAACCTAGAAAAGACCGGGTATAGGTTGCTTGTTAGGTCAACAAATACAAACCAGGGCAGCATTTCTGTAGTGTTTCGCTTCCGACTACGTAGAAATGTGATAGCAAGCGTACGAGTTTTGCCATAGACCCCTTTCAAAAGCGTGTCCTCTGTTGGAAGCTGCGTAATTTCTGCGCAATGGCACACATAAGCGTGAGCTCCTCGCGTCGGATCGTGCATGGGCCAGATGAGCCTTCATGCAGCGAAAGCAAAACTCGAAGCTACCCGCGCCTGCTACTTGCACGTTTCGCAGTGTTGGTTGGCAAAAGGAAGGTTATTTGCGACTTCGGCATGATATGTGCTTTGCTTATTTTTAAAACATTTCGGAAGTAGCGGCTGGGCATTTATTGTGACCTGGACAGATGCTTGGTGTTTTACGACAGAGTTCTCAGAGTTTGATGACTACTAGAATATATAGTGTCTGTATGTCGTCACGTGGGGCAAGTTGTAAAATTGTGCTTAGTCCGGTCAAGCAGGGTTCCCTGTCTACTTGTTTGGTTTTAATTTTATGCCGTTTGTAGCAAATATTTTTCACCAATTATTGCCGACCATGATCCGAGCACCGTCCAAATATTTGCAGATTTTTTCTCTGACAATTTGGTAGTCTCAGTGTAATTTAACTCCGCTACACATTTGCAAATTCGTGAAAAAGGGGATGTGAAAACCATTTATTCGGGGTGCTTTTATTTAGGAGAGTCAACCGGAAACCGAGGATTGCCTCTTTCAGCTCTACGCGTTTAGTGCCGCTCTAGCGCTAACATTGGCAGTTTTTTTTTTTCAAAGTTGCTGCACATGATCATGTTCCTGCCGTCGTACCAAGCTCCCCTGTGCAATGCCACTGCGCATCAATGCATAATATATTTTGTGTTACCGCTGCCTGCTTGCCACTGTGTATTTCTGACTTTGGTCTTTGCCCTGGCAGCTTGCGATTGCGACCCCCGGGGCTCGCTGGACGAGGGTGTCTGTGACCCGCAAGACGACATCCAGGCCGGCTCGGTGGCCGGCCGCTGCCACTGCAAGAAGAACGTGGAGTCTCGACGCTGCGACCGCTGCAAGAGAGGCCACTTCAACTTCCAGGCGGCAAACCCCGACGGTTGCGAACGTGAGTCTGACAAAGTCCGACTACCGTAATATCCCGAGTCATCGCCCATCCCCGAGCCATCGCCCACCCCATTTTTTGGGCCAATATCAATTTCCGAAAAAACACCGAGTCATTGCCCACCCCTTCAAATACCCCAGAGCGGACTCTGCGATCCGCGAACACTCATCCTACCCGAATGACGCGGCCGCGGACCATACAGTTCGAGGACGTCCGTGACAAATTAAAACAAAGGAGGGAAAGACACTTATTTTTGTTTACCTCCGTGAGCGACCCCAAAGTGGTCGTGTATCCGTGCGAAAAGAAAATGATGGAGATAACAAAATGAGAGTTTGTTAATGTAACCGCGGAGTGTTAGGTCAAAGTCTGTCTCCGCCGAAGTAAGGTCACCGCGAACCCGCTCCTTCTTTCCGCCCGTCGCGACCGCGGTTGTGCAATGTTTTAGGCAAAGCCAACGCGTAAATAAAGCTTTGCTGGAACGCCCTACACAGTCGTTTGCAGAGCGTCCCTACCGTGCATTGATAGCCCGCCGTGCACGGACGCACGTACGTACGCACCAAACAAGAAAGTTGCGCAAGAGCTTGCAATTGACAAGGCGCCCGACTTGGCCCGACGCCAAAGTATTTGCCAACGCGACCGCCGGCTTTTCCGCTTTCCCAGCATTGCTCTTGGTCGCTTCTTTGGTCCGCTCGCTCGCACGTTGCGCCTGGTCGGTTTTTCTATTTTCTTGTAGACTTTTCTTTCTTTATTTTTTACTAACTAGGAGAACATAGTGGTGACATCCTTTCACGGAACAAACGTTCGCGCTATATGCAGATCGGCAGTGTTTCTAGCGCATATGCAAGCAACGGACTTCGCTATAGTAAAATGTTCTTTCGTGAGCATTTTTTTTTATAAAACAATGAAACTAAAACGAGTTTTGAGTTGGATGTATCTCTTGTGCATCAGCGCTAGATACGCAGAGAAAAATAGGCGGTTTTTTCCGCTTTTTTTCAAGTGTTTGTGCACACCCACCGAGACATGGCCCACCCCACTTTTTTAATGAATTTCAGGTGGTAGGGGGGTGGGCGATGACTCGGGATATTACGGTATATAGAGTTTCTACTCTCTGCCATTGTTTTTACAGCGGAGCTGTTAAGAGCTAGGTTCCCCAGGATCGTGTTTGGTACCAAAGAAATGTCGACACAAACCTACACGAACCTCTGGACAGCTACTGCCATCTATAAGCGACGGTGGCAACCAGGCAACCAGTCTGGCTGCCTGGTTGCCTAAGAGATGGTGGCAACCTTTAATAGTTGGGCGAGTTGGTGGGAATTCATCATAGGAAACAGCGCGAAAAACAGACGAGGTTGAAGAAGAAACACACGGGAAGAGTGCAGCGCACGTCACGTGTGTTTCTTCTTCGTCCTCGTCTGTTTTGCGCACTGTTTCCTACGCTCTTACCAGTTTTGGTTTGGGCTCATGGTGGGTTGTCCGCGTGCCCTTTCTTCGGGGAAAGAAGACCGGGTGCGGAAAGAGCAGCGACGTACGCAGCAGCGCAAATGGGTTCGCAACCGCCGCGTGCGTCGAGCACTTCAGATTCCCTTGCGAAAGAAGAGGAGATCGCTCGCCTGAAAAGCCACCGCCGAGAACAGAAGCTGCAGCTCCGCTGCTCTTCCTTCTTCACCAGAGTGGAAAGGCTGAAAGTTTTTTTAATAATAAAACGCTTAGTTCTGAAACTCTGGAACCTGGTTCAGATCGATAGTGCTACATTTGGGTGGAAACCAAGCGTTCGGCAACGCATAGTTTATTTTTGCGGTGGTTGCACTGTATATTTGTGATCTATGGGTGCTGTGTGCAAGTTGACAAGTGGTTGTGATGTAAATCTCGTGTTAAGCCAAGCCAGAGAGCCAAGCCTAGTTGATCCACAGAGTTAAATTTTCCTATTAATTGCAGCCAATCAGTGCGCAGCTGGGACAGACAATTTGCATGTCCTATTGCAACCTCACGGCTTTGCTGCGAAGTCGTCATGCAGTGACGGGCAGATTTATGGATGAGGCTCGAAGGGGGTATCTGCAAACAGATCTGATGTCACGATCGAAGCGTTGTCCAGATCTATTTTGTTCACCTAATAATTGCAACTTCACCTGGAACGAAACATTTCAGTTTAGAAAAGAGCTGGGGTATGTAATTTTTTTTTTTTTCGTAAAATAATTTTTATTTTGTTGTTAAATTTTGCCCCTGTGCAGTGAAAGCTGTTGTTTTTGGTGTTACTTGTTAGTGCGTTTTATATTTTATTAGAGGGCGGTAGCTTTTATTGGAGGGTGGCTGGCTTTACAAGCGATTAGAGCCAAGCTTCAACTAAGGTCTTGAAATGAGATTGTCTTCAATGGCCACCTGTGTGCACAGCCTGCAGCTGCCACGAACTGGGCACAGCCGGAGACGGCTGCAATGTCTACACGGGAGAGTGCACCTGCAAGCGCAACGTCATTGGCCGGGACTGCAACCAATGCCTGGTGCGTCACTCCCTCAGGGAAGATTCTCTGGGAAGGGCTCAGCTTGGGAGCTGATGGGAGTTGGTGAATGGGCAAAAAGAAACAAACAAGCTGGTGAATGTTTTTGAAAGAAACTTATTGCTCAGCTTCAGAAAACATTTAATAATTGGTTAATAATTATTTAATGATACAGAGCAGTGGGGACGATCTCAGCTAAAAGCCAATCTCTTCTCACTAGTGAACCAATGGAGGAGTATCTTTTATGTTGAGGTTCTGTCTCGGCCTACGGAGCACAATGTGAAGAGTTTGAACCCTGGGTAATTCCTTCCCCAGGAGTTCTCTTGTGTGCCCCTCATAGTTCCAGTTTCTTGGCTGCATAAGGTCCCAGTATTTCTACCTCTTTTTCTCTTTTGCGTTGATTGAACAAAGGAGTTAGAAAATATACAACACAAAGTATTTAAAAAGCATTGCCAGTCACATTAGTTAGATGGGATTATTATTTATTTATTTGAAAATACTGCAGCCCCACATAAGGTCATTGCAAAAGTGAAAAGAAAAAACATACATTGTATACAAACAAGCATAGACTCGCTATGGTATAACACCAACAATAACTTAATAGAGGGTCCAATAAAATCTGCTGTGTATGCTAAACTTTTGTAACGCAACAAAACCAAATTATACAAAAACAACCTATTAAACTTCCAATACAAATCTTTCAAGTTCAAGTGAACGAATGACTTTATGAATGTTGTTTCAATTATTTAAAGTTCTAGGAAAGAATGAATATTTAGTCAACTAGGGATTATTTGGGTCAAAGCATTGCTTCTATTTATAGGCCAGTGTGCAGTGTCTAAACCTAAGTAATGTCTTACTTCTGGGAAATGGAGATGTACTAGATAGTATAGCATAAGTGGTTAAGAAGCCATTGACTTTACACTGAGGGAGCTCTGGGCACTTACGCTTGCTCTTGAGTGGCCTGTATACAGCTCGAGTACCCTAAAAGCTTGATCTTGATCGGCCAGTGCACAGCCCAAGTTGTATCCTGAAAGCTTGTTCTTGATTGGCTGGTGTACTGGTGAAGTAATACCCTGTAAGCTCGCTGTTAATTGGCTGGTGTACAGCCCAAGTGTCCTAAAAGCTTTCTCTAGATTAACCGGTGTACAGCCAAAATAACACTCTATAAGCTTGCTGTTGGTTGACCGGAAAACGGCCCAAGTACCCTGCAAGCTTGCTCTAAGTTGGCTGGTGTGCTGCCCCAGTAATACCCTGTAATCTGCTGTTGGTTTGCCGGTGTATAGCCCAAGAACCCTGAAAGCTTTTTTTTGATTGGCTAGTATGCAACCAGAGTACTATGAAAGCTTGCTCGTGATTGGTTGGTGTACAGCCCAGACACTATAGAAGCTTGCTCTTGATTGGCCAGTGTACAGCCCAATACTATAAAGACTTGCTCTCTATTGGCCGGTGTACAGCCTGAGTACTATGAAAGCTTGCTCTTGATTGGCTGGTGTACAGCCCAGACACTATAAAAGCTTGCTCTTGATTGGCCAGTGTACAGCCCAATACTATGAAGACTTGCTCTCTATTGGCCGGTGTACAACCTGAGTACTATGAAAGCTTGCTCTTGATTGGCTGGTGTACAGCCCAAACACCATAAAAGCTTGCTCTTGATTGGCCAGTGTACAGCTGGAATACTATAAAAGCTTACTCTTGATTGGCCTGTATGCAGCCTGTGTACTTTGAAAACTTGCTCTTGATTGGCTGGTGTACAACCCAAACACTATAAAAGCTTGCTCTTGATTGGCCAGTGTATAGCCCGAATGTTAAAAGCTTGCTCTCGATTGGCCGGCGCGCAGCCCGAGTACTGGGGGCTTGGCAACGACGAAGACGGGTGCAAGCCCTGCGACTGTGACCCCGGAGGCGCCTACGAGAACAGCTGCGACGTGGTGACTGGCCAGTGCCGCTGCCGCCCCAGTGTCCAGGGTCGCCGCTGTGACCAGCCGGACACGGGCTTCTTCGTCGGCAACATGGACTACATGGTCTACGAGGCCGAACTGGCCAAAGCCAGCCCGGTGAGGCTGTGTAGAAGTGGGGGTGAAGACGTGGCCCTCCCCTCTTAAATCTAGGCTTTCTATACGGACGAAACACAAACTTCAGCACAAACTCATTTCCAAGCTTGCTTCTTTGTTTGCTCCGTGTTCCATGTCGGTGTATTCAGCGAATCGGAGCTCCAATTCTCTGAATCGGTGCTCGAGCGCTTTCGCGCAGGAAGCAACTATGGCCGGCGTAGTCACTCCCTGCTTGAAAGTGCTCGAGCACCGATTCGGCGTATCATCGCCACTCAATGATGATGATCGGCCCCGCCGGCACCTCCACGGGGAAGAGGAAGGCAACCTCCTTAAAACAAAAGCGTATCATTCTTGACGAAGTGCACATAAATATAAAAAATGCTGTCCACCGCCAGTATCCTCCATGGCGGCTATCACAGCTGTCGACACGGTCCGTATGTAACTCGCAAGATCTTCCCTCAATCGGAGCTTCTTCTCGTAGTTGATGAGAAGCGGCTCCGATCTTGCAGAAAGTGCACGCACGCGGAAAAGTCTCGATCGCTTTCTACAGGCACAATAAGCATGGGCCTGGCCGACCCATACTATCTTTTTTTTGCGTGTTAAAAATTTATGGAGTCCAGATATAACAAAGAAGCAGATACAGCAAAGTGATTCCCGTTGACTTTGTTATAACCGGTCTCGCAGCACCAGCATTTTTAGTTAAGAGATATCCCTCTCTGCAAAAACTGGCAAAAAATTTTTCCCGTCGATTAAAATTTTTATGTTTACTATTGAACAAAACTTTAAGGCAATTCATTATGCGAGTAATAGAATGTTTTTGTGTTATATTCGTTGGCCCCGTTTTACTGATATTGCTCCGTATTGACTGTCCCTTTAAAGTGCAAGATATTGTAAGTTTGTGATTCTTAGGCAGATCAATGAATTTGCGTGGTGCAGTGTTTCTGGAGGATAGCTACAAAAAGATGACAGTAATCACATTTTCAGAAAACAGACTTTGCTTGCACTTTGTTTGGTTTTCAGTTCGTTCTGTTATGACATTTGTCCTTTCTATTGCATTTCACAGGACTGCCAAGTCCTGGTGCGAGAGCCATACGCCGAGCGGGAAGCCACCTGGACCGGTCTTGGGTTCATGCAAGTTCACGAGGACTCCTACCTGGAGTTTGATGTGACGGACGTTCCTACCTCTATGGAGTACGACATCGTCTTCCGCTACGAGCCCAAGGTGAACTCGGCCCCTACGTGGCGATATACTTGTAAACAGCTTGGCAGTAGTATTTCACTAACTTTCCTGAGCTAAAGGTTCGAAAACCCGCAAGGCCCATTTAGTGGGCAACCCGCAAGGCCCATTTAGTGAACAATCGAGCATTTTCTGAAAGGACAAAAACTAAATTATTGTTAATGTTAACCTTGTCATAAGCGCTTTGTCATCATATCTGCCTCCTCTGGTTTACTATACAAGAAAACTGTTTATGGCCTCTTGAAGCGTGTGTTCTGTTAGGTTGGCGGAGAAAGAACCAGACACATCTGCAGGCCAAAGGGCCACGTAGGAGAATACACTTTTATCTCGTCACTTTCTACCAGCTGGCGGCTGAGGCTAGCCGGTAGGTGGTGGGATGCTTCATACCACATTTCCCTCTTCCAGAAAGAGTGCATGTGCGATATAAGCTCTGCTATAAACCACACATTCCGAAACCAAAAGCCTGGTAACTTGCCCACCAATAATCATTATTTGTACCATGCTGACAGTTAATGCTGTCTTCTATTAATGACATTCTTTCATCTCTCTGGACTAGAGTTCATCCAAGTGCCTGCACTATTAAAGGGACACTGACAGGGTTTTTATGCTTGTCAAGGTTTTTATTTGTACATGACACTCGAGAGCCCAACTACCCAGAAAACAACTCGAAATTCGTTTTCTTTTGACCAAAAACAGCCGGTCGAGAACTGGTTGGTTGGAGTTGCGCTTACTCTCTTCTCCCTGGTCACGCGCTGTTTTCTGTAATTTAGGCACAATCACCAAATATAATCAAAGTCGTGGGTCATCGAAAGCGCACACACAATATTAAAAATAGAAAAGAAATATGATACCCCTTTTTTTGTGGCTTCTGAAAAGCAGCTAATGCATCAATTAGGAAAAAAAAAGTATTGCAGCCACGTTGATTTCCGCCACCTCTCTCCTCCCCTATATTTCTTCTTCCTCCCCAGTCTAGTTTCGGTATCGGTTTCGAGCAGTTGCGTTTTTTGACTTTATTAAGAATATACATGACGTTGGAGCAAAATATTGAATGGGTAGTCTTCTGACACCATTAAATACAAAAAAATAAAAAAATAAATTTTGGGGTTGTCAGTGTCTTTTTAAGGCTGGCTAAAACATTTACATTTGAGTGCGACTGACTGCGTAATGACTTTTTGCAGTCCACCATTACGCATTGTGCGAACTTTGGTTGTCATGGCAACCATTTTGTAGGGAGCGATCAAAATCACTTATTACTTAGCTGGTCGCACTTTAGTCATGCTGATCCAAGTGAAACAAGTAAACAACGATACTTTTCTTCTTGCAGCTGGCTCATGGCTGGGATGAAGCGATTGTCACCATCGACCGTCAGGGCCCCGTCGATCCTTCTGGGCCATGCGCTAACGTCATCTCGCAGGACAACAGACAAGTGATCAGCTTTCCTGCTAGTGAGTGTGCATTGTTCGGTTCAACTGATCACTATTCAGAGTTGAAGGTTTGATTCCCACAGCTCTCATGCTTTTGTTTAACCACTTTTCTATGACGCACATTGAAGATGTCCAGTTAACTTTTGTATTGCACTGGAAAAAGTGCCTCCAAGCAGCCATGTTTTTCGAGGAAACTGAATTCAAATTCCCTAGCCATCCATACAGCAAATTTGAACTGGGAAAGTGCAGATATTTTTTATATCCTAGTCAGTACCCTGATTATCCTAGTTGTGCTTCAGAGGTTATATGGTGATGCTTCCCTGCAATGCTTGGGCACACTTTTTCAAATGTCCCGCTCACACTCTGAGCGGGCACTCTTCAGCGTTATGCTTTTACCGAATCTGGTGATAATCTTGTATTTTTACTAGTTTTTATTATTTTTATAAAGTAAACTTTCGTTAAATCGACCTCGACGGGACCTGTAAATTTGGTTGAATTTTCCGAATGATATCGAATTGAAAAAAAAAAGGACAGAAAAACGGTTAAAATTAAACTTCCTTTTATTGTCCAAAGTACTTCCGGATGGTTTGCTGCCGTCTGCGCTTAAAACGCGTGTCCAAAAGCGTGCTCCAGCTTAACTAAACGTCGCGCCCCCAAAAAAATGCTCACAATAAAAAAAAAAAAATAATGAATAAAAAAAACAAAAAAAGCAAGTTTTACGAGTCGACTGTGGCGCCGGGCAGCCGACCATTGGTGGCAGAGAAAATTAACAACAACAACAACAAAAAAAAAAAAAGAATTTTGCGCTTTCTGGCACGCAAGATGGACCGCACACGATGCTACAGAAAAGCCCTTTGAGAGCGCGCGCTGTCTCCACGCCCGACCGACCATGTGCTATGCTCTCCACGCCAGATTGGTTGCGCTGGCTGGAGTCATTCGCTACGCTTCATCTCAACGGCGTAGAGGAGCAGGCGCATATTTGCCCACGTTCGGCTTTGCAGCAAAGGGCCCCTGTTTCGCCGTAGGTTGGTGGTTTTTCTGCCGTGGTGCCGTGCAATGTGAGGCCGCGCACATTCGCTCGGGATGAATTATCCGATGCGGAGTCTTCCCGAGTTCAAACTATCAAACTTTTCCCCCCATAGAAATGTATGGGTGCTCGCCGGGACTTTTGAACACGATCAAATTAGACGAAAAGTCGAATTAACCGAGGTCGAACTAACGAAAGTTTACTGTATTTCTTGCACAATACAGTACAGCCCACTTATAATGAGCTCGGAAATATCAAAATAAAGAATATAACAAACTAAGTTTAATTTTCCGTTACCGTTTGTATGCTTGCAATGCAATATGAGCCCGTTTTAACGGGAAACCTCGGGAGGTCCGCCACAGATATAACGACAAAACAACTACAAAAGGATACTCAAATTAAATTTAAAGAAAGCTATTTACGGTACCGTAATATCCCGAGAGATAGCCCACCTAAAATTGAGAGATTTGCTAGAAATAAGGAGTGGGCTACCTTCGGTGTGGAATCAAGAAAAGTTGGAAAAATGCTATTTTTAGATTATGTGTCGCTGCCAAACTCGTTATCATGGTGAGAGGCATTGAAGCGAAGATGATGGTACTTCCCAGTCAGCAATGTTCACTTTATCCCGCCATAGCTAACTTGACACATTTACACAGAGATCATCATTGATCCGACCACTATGATGACTAGGAGTGGGTTATCTTTCCGTGTTTAAAAGAAAATAGCAAATCAAACTAAACAGGGGGGTGGGGTTATTTTTCAAGGATGGGGCATCTCTCGGGATTTTACGGTATATTTATAGAAACTAAGCACAAAAACTAACCGCTGCGTTCCGATAGTGCAGCTAATTTGCCCGCCGCACTTTGTGCTAGCGAGGCAGGAACTCGCTCTGGTTGGCAAGCTCGCCTTGTCTGCATTACGCATGACGTGCACAGCTGTGCACGTCATGCGGAAAATTTCGGGTTTTTGCCATTTCTGCAGTTTCCATTCTGCGTTTTCCTGGCTGTGTTCCAAAATTTACTTGAATGGATCCTGTTACTCTGGCAGATCATGTTGCACGACAACACAAATAGAGCAAATGAGAACAACACTGGACGCAAGTAGGTTAGAAGATTGGTGGAAATTATCTAGGGAAAATTGAGTGATGCACAACTAACTAGCACAAATGGGAACAGGCGGGACAGAGGAAAATTGGGACTCCCTCCCGCGTGGCTCCGGCCCAAAGTCTCAACCCTGTCTCTCAGTGGGTCCGGTGCTGGGCTAATGCTGACAATGTTTGACCAGAGGAAAATTGGCGACTCCCTCGCTGAGTAAAAGAGGCGGGGGGTGATGTTTTTTAGGTTTTTTTTGCCTGATCCCCCAAAGGTCATCCTGGTGATATCCCACACTGCCTGGTGATAGTTAGGGGGAGAAAATTGGCTCATAAGGGCGAGAGGGATCATATGGTTGTCTTTCTTAGACTTAGGCTAGGTGGTGCAAGCTATCGCCCGTTACAAAGGTTATAGTCATTAGCATCCATCCATCCTTCAAATGCCAAGGTACAGAACCTTCATCCTAGAGTAAGGTTGACTAAAGTATGGAACATGGCCCTTGTCTTTCGGCCCACCATCTTGCGTTGTGAGCGTGTATCCCACGCATCCTTATTCCTCTTTTGCTTCTCGCCGACCAATGACTACACACTCCTCTCGAATCGCTCACCACACCTTCCGGACTTGACCACCTCACTTGTTTCTCTCTCCGACGACGGGCCTACTCAAAAGTTTCTCTTGGCAAAGACTGAGTCGCCCACCACACACTAGGACTACTGAGCTTTATCCCACTGAATCTATTGCTGCCAACTGTGTTTGTCTCTGGATCTTGTAAAAGACACCAGTCTCCGGTCCAGTCGGATGCGGCGGCGGCTAGCGAAGGCGACGAGGATAATGACGACTCCGCCAGGAAGTTGGTGTTTGCCGGAACGGCTTTTGCCGCGGTGGATACCCTCCAAGGCTACTTCGGTGGTGCCAACCAGGCTGAGCTCGAACGAAGCCTTTTTCCACACTTCGAGTTAATTTAGCCAGTAATCGCAAAGGCATACGTGGTGCATACAGTTGCGAAATGATGGCTACTTTGGAGTGCATTAAAATCTCCTGCTAAATGAGCTTTTCTTTTTTTTTTTAATGCAAAGTTGTTTATGGCTAGGGTTCCGTGGATTTTTCACGTGCGTCAACAAAAACTCAGGTCTCGAATTTGATGCGAAATCGCTTCATTCTGTGCAAAAGCTTGTATGTCTCATCAACTGGATGTGAATTTTCGGTAGATTAATTAACAATAGGCACCGTTTTCAAGGTCAGTAGACTCTCAAGTAGATAATAAAGGTTTCTCAAAGATTTGCCACTGTGCGACCCGCATCGGCCATGTCTACGCCATCGTTCCAAGCACTGGCGTGCCTAGTTTCCTTTCCTTCCGCTTTTCCAGGGTGGCGGTCCGGTCGGAAAGTAGAAAATTCTGTGTCACGTCTGTGTTGTGTGCTAAACAGCATCGCTGGTCATCCACCTCTGCAAAGTAAAATAGCAGATTCTTTTTTTTTTCTTTTTTTTTTGAAGTCCATATGTAACAAAATATTAATATAGCAAACTGAATTCAGATTCTTGTGGAGTTTGTTATAAGCGGGCTGTACTGTATAATACAACTATATTTTCTATGATGTGAATAAGATGAGAGCTAAGGTCTTTATCATCACCACTGAAACCATCAAACTTTGTCATAACAGTTTCTTCAAATATTTTTAATGCTTCGCAGTTTACATGACGAACTACTGTTTGTGACATATCCCTTTCTTCAGAATTATTTTATCAAAATTGACGGCTCTCACGTGGCGAGGGCATGTTTCTCAGCATGCGTGGCTCATGACAGCAAGGTCACAATGTGCGATTGTTATGTGGCCCTTGCCAGGTGACCGATACGTGGTTGTCGCTCCGCCCGTCTGCCTGGAGAAGGGGCGTCGTTACAAGGTCCGGATCACCTTCAAGCAATACGACCGCATCGTGGACACGCCGTCGGCATCCATTCTCATCGACTCGGTACGTTTCGGGAAACAATCGTAGCATCTCTTTGATGGGGGAAATTATTGCGACGTTCTCATACCTGTTTGGGTAAAGAATTGCACATCTGATTCATTGGATAATAGTTTGAGCATTTTAATTCCCTAGAAAAATGGCTGTGCAGGACGGAAAGGTAATTTAATAAGCCAAAGGCATACATCCCTGTAGCAAGGTGCAGCATAGGGACAAAGGGTAGACATTGCCGTGTCTTCCCCTTGTTTATGTGGCCTTCTTGCGGTGTTTCATCTGCTCTCATACATCCCTGGTTTAGACAGCACACCTGCATCGAATACCTAGTGTAGAATGAAGGAGAAAGTAAATAATGTAATTTAAAACGTCTTCCAAGCTTATAAAGCACTATGATGCCAAACAACCTCGGACCGGGACAAGGAAACTCAAAATGTCTAAAAAAAAAAGAAAAATGCACACAAAAAAAGAAAATATTTTAAGCTCAGCTACTACATTTACCATTATTTCCAATATACAAGTTGCGAGGTTGTGTAAGTTGCGCCTCCTATAAATGGGTGACACAGAAACAATAAGTTGCACTTTTGTGCGAGTTCCACTTGCATATTTCTATTTGGTTCGTGCGACGAAACTGCATTGACAATTAGCCTGCATCTGTGTGTTGCGATCGCAATATATTCACGAACGGGAGCCAATTTCAACATTGTCATCAATTAATCGAACAACAAATATAACCCCGTGGTAAATTTGCAGAGCTAATGTCTATATTTGAAGAAAAAAATACATATAGATTCAACCATTATACAACACACAGACGGAAATTTCGTAAAAAAAAAAGTTGCGCGGACACGATTACGCGACGTGATGCGAATAGACAGCGTCAGCTGGCGTGACATATCAATGATATTGCCTCCTGATTGACTGGAAAATTCCGGAGGTGTTGCGTCATGCGATGTCTTGCGTAGACCACAAACACATTCTCGCAGACGCTCTGCACAAATTGCTCGGTCGCACCGGCGTGTCCATTTTTCGCTCGGTAACATTCTCTTCTACATGCTGCTTCACGTTCACACACTGGATGACCTTGATGTCTAATACGTTCCATCCTAACACCCATGGGGAGACCATTGGTGCCTACGCATTCACGCTGTCGAGCAGCCGCCGCTTCGGCCGCCCCATTCTTGCACGCAAAGGCTTAGAGTTCCGAGGGAACGGGCAACTGAAGCCGAGAAAGAGCAGGTGGCGAGGAGCGCGATCGCACGACCCCCAGCCCAATCGAGATCGGCCGGACGCGCCGCACCTCAGCCGCAACTATTATCGGCGAAAGGGCGAGGGTATCACGATTTACTCGCCCTCTCTGGGTGCCAAAGCCACTCGCGATAAATGCACGCATACTCTATTCGTTTTCGGCAACACAACACTCGCCGGTACAGCCGACGCTGTAAAATTGAAACTGCAGACCAAAACCTGCCGTATTTAGTTACCCTCCTATATAACTGAACATTTTAGTTTTGAATGCGAAAGCATTAACTGTCTCATGGAGCGAGCCCACGTCATCAGCTTTGAAACCATGCCAAACGGATCTTCAATCCTTCTCCAAATCAAGCCAGCTCTCAGCTATGAAACTGTAACCACGCTCAAAGCTAGCCACGGCACCTTCACCGCTTCAATCCCATTGGCTAACGCGCGTCGACCAGGCTCCCATTCGCCGGACACGCAGCACCATGGGTGGCCGGTGGTCGAAACTGACGCTGCGCGTCAGCTTCAACGACCAACAAACCTCATGGCACTGCGTGTCCATCAGCAACAGGTCAGCACCAGTCAGCGCGCCAACATGCGTAGAGCAAGGATGATGTACATGTTTTTGCATTCATTACTCGCAGGGAGTGCTTAGGTGTACCTCAATCTTTTATTTTTTTAGGGTTTTGTATTTTCTAAGTGGAGAATACAAGTGGTGAGTTACCTTCTTTATATAACTGGACGTTTTCGTTTTGTATTTTTTTATGTTTTTGTAGCTTTTTAAGTGGAAAGTACAAGTGGTGCGCAAATGTATGTCGACCCATTGTGTAGTTTGACGACGACATTGAGAAGCATGTCCAGTTCCAAAACGGTGTGTCAGTTTAGCATCACCCATCGTAGCATGTGTTAGGGGATCGGTGGCAAGAAAGCTTACTTTACTTTACGGAAGCGAGCAGCAAGTTCATCGCCTCCAAACTAAAAGGACGTTCGGATAAAGCGCCTTGTACGATTCAACCTCGGCGGTATGCCCGCTTTTCAGATGGTGCTCCTTCCCCACATCAACGCCATCCCTTTCTTCCACGGAACTCCTGCCAACGAGTACCGCAGGGATGAGTTTGAGCGGTTCCGATGCGGCCAGGCGTTCTACACGGTCCGCAGGGGTTCCTCCTCCGTGCCGGACATTTGCAAGAAGTACCTCTACAGCATTGGCTTCTACGTCTACGGAGGGGCCCACGGTGAGACCCGACGAGGCCAGAACATTACTTTGTCTTAATGGACCTTTTTCGAAAGTGCGCGCCCCCTAGCGGCTGCTGCGACAATTGTCCGAGTCCGCTGTTGCTCGGGCATGCACTCGGAGCAAGTACGGTGCGATCCACTTATAACGATTAACTGCTTATAACGATCAGTTTCTAGAGTTTCTAGACTAGAAACAATGAGTTTCTAGTCCAGATACAATGATAATCGGTTGTAACGATTGGATTTTCGGGTTTTCTCATTATCGTTATAAGTGGACTACACTGTACTGGACACGGAGCTGGACACAGAGACCGAGTCATTCTTCGGTGCGAACCCGGCTCGTACAGCGTCGGCGTTTTGCGAGGACTCGGATAGAGTCGCGCTCTTAGTTCCCGAGAAATGGCGACCACCGATGTAGCTTGATGGGGTTTTGAAGAGGGCCTATTCCGATTTGCTGCTTTTAGGGAGCCGCTGTCTCCTGAATTTGAGTCGTATATTCTCACTGCGTTCACCACTAAGTTGACAGGGTGGCGGAAGCTACGTGCTCGCCGGATCAATCACCCGCCTGCCCCTCCCGCCAGCCGCCTGCGAGTATGTGCGAGGGGCGCAATCACGCAGTTCGAAGATTGGCCGGCCCAACGACCGCGTAGTGTCTGCCCCTTTGTCAGCTCGGCGGGGAAGAGAATTCAGTTGCTGCCTTTCTGGCTGTTTTTATCGTAGCGCCGACAAACGGAGACATTTGATAGTCTTACAAATGGGTTGCAGCTCATTGTTTTCATGATTGTACTGAGCTGCATCTTAAGAATGTGTTAATAGAATTTGCACTTAAAAGGACCCCGCATTAATATGTCGTGTGTTGTGCTCTGTCCTATTTGTTTATTCATCTGCGCGTAAAATAAAAAAGGATTTTTTGTCGTACTGTTTACTTCAGTGGCTGCGTGCACACTGCTCAGAACCTCGAGCATGAAAGATAAGCGTAAACTATGGCACTTTTTTAAGTACGCTAGAATGTGGGAGTAATTTGGGGTATGCTGCAATCCCGGCAACCTGGAACAACGAGCAAAACGATAGCTGGGAAACAAAATTCTAATGAAAGCGACAACCCCAGTGTTCGCATTCTTTATCGGTGTTCACACTCTCTCTTAGCTAAGTCGGTTTTGTTTCTTTTCATTCTCACTGTTTACCTTTTGAGAAGATGCCTCACGAATTAAGTTAGCTCGTTTCAAGCTCTGCATCCTCGCTACTTTTTCTCAGATTGTCCCGTGCATATTCACTCCGCAGTACCGATTTTGTCCAGTTCAGTGTGGTGATTGTTGGACGTGCACTCTTGCGTGCTGCGCACATTGCAGACTGCAGGTGCGATGCCCAGGGGTCTCACAGCAGCGTGTGCAACACCCTGGGAGGCCAGTGCCAGTGCAAAGCCAACGTGGTCGGACGCAACTGCGACCGCTGCGCCCCCGGAACCTACGGCTTCGGCCCTGGAGGATGCAGGCGTAAGTCTGCCCTCTTTGCAGTTACAGCGGGTTGCCAGCGCGGTTGACCACGGTCGGAGATTCATCCTTTCGGGGTCCACCGATTGCATTCGCAGTCTTAGGATTTCTCGGCACGGTAAACACCTGCACCCAGGCGATGAGTTAATGAACTCCACATCGAATGTGACCTTTTCTCGGTCCGGGGGTTGTCTTACTCCGTTGAAGTTGCAGGAAGTTACAAAGTCACAAAACCGCTGTTTTGTATGGGAGGCATACGAGTGAGTCGTTTAATAAACCTAGTGCTAACAGCCTGACGACGGAATACCGTATTTACTCGCAGAATGAACGCACTTTTTTTTCCGAAAAATTGATGCAAAGTTAGGGGGGGCGTTCATTACGCGAAGTAAAATTTTTGTGTCCATATTTACTCGCATAATGAACGGACCTTTTATCCTGAAAAATCGAAGCAACTTCTTATCTCTTTGCGCGCGGCGCCCGACCCCGTAACCAAACTAAGCTGTGCAAAAAAAGAAAAAAACTCCTCTTTGTTTTCTTTCTTCTAGTCCCTCCGTTTTTTTTGTTTTTTTTGTTGTTGCCGCCTTTCCCGAGCTCATTTGTTTGCTTAGGCGAGGGCTCTCCGCTAATCTTTCTTATCTCCTTGCGAGCGGCGCACGACCCCCCGTAACCAAATTGCGCTGTGCAAAAAAAGAAAAAAAAAAAAAAAAGCTCTTTTTTTTTTTTATTTCCTTGGGGTTTTTTTTTTTCTGCCGCCTTTCGCAAGCTGCTTCGTTTGCTTAGAGGGCTTCTCCGCTCCTCTTTCTTACCTCCTTGCGCGCGGCGCGCGACCCGCTTAACCAAACTGCGCTGTGCAAAAAAAAAAAAAAAGAGCTTTTTTTTGTTTTTGTTTTCTCTTAGTTCCGCGGGGTTTTTTTTTCTTTTCTTTTTGCCGCCTTTCGCAAGCTGCTTTGTTCGCTTAGAGCGCTTCTCCGTTTCTCTTTCCTACCTCCTTGCGCGCGGCGGCGCGCGAACCCAAAGTCCAGACTGCGTTGTGCAAAAAAAAAGCTTTTCCATGGTTGTTTTTTTTTTTGCTTCCGTTGGATCTTTGCCAATTCTTTTTAACACGTTTTGCAAGGCGCTTTGTTCGCTCACGCTGCCCATGCATTCGCGACCTCGCTGCACCGGGACAGAGAAGTGCGTTCATTTCGCGCGCGTGGGGGAGGGGGTCAAAATTTTGACGTCGGAGTTGGGGGTGCGTTTATTGCGCGAGTGAAAGAAAAAGTCGAAATTTTGAGAGCCGACTTGGGGGGTGCGTTCATTACGCGAGTGCGTTCATTGTGCGAGTAAATACGTAGCTTAGAAAATGAACCGAGAAGTTAGACGAGATGCTTTAAGGGTGCAGTGGGTAACTCCCTACCTGACTGTAGTAACTCACTGGTTTCCACTTTGTTATTATTTTTATGATGCAGTTCAGTTTTCATAATGTGGTGGAGAGCTTGCACTGAGTGCTTTGCAGCAGACCTGACTTGGTTAGGAAATAAAACTTTTGGAGTAGACGGCACTCTAAATTGTTTAGGCATTTATTTTCTTCGAGGACAGGGACGAGTGTAAGGAAGTAAACAGGATGAGTGCAATGAAGAACAGAGGTAGGAAATAAGCATGTTTCACCTACTCTTTCTATTTCTTCCAGATATCCTTTATTTTTAGTTGAAATAATCTGTTAGTTTCAAGCCAGTAGTAATTATGTCTTCTACTTGTTCTGTAAAGAGTGGTTGCTTATTTTGCCAGGAGTGTATGCTCTGTATTTTATGGTAATGCTCATGTACTAACTAATCAATTCATCCCGTCGAACTGCACCCGATAAATCAAAATGTTGTACCAACTTTTCAAAAACATTTTAGAAGCCTTTTTTACGTCACACACAATTTTCGTGCCACTCGTACAGGGCAGCAACTTCTCGTGTGCGTTCGACTGCATCTAGAAGGCATAAAGTAGCTTCAAAACCTCCAAAGCTTACCCCGCAGAGCAATGTGGCAAGAATGAGACCTTTGCAAGTGCATCGCAGAGATGAAGTAGAAGATACGCAATGATATAAGCACATTGTGAATGGATTACTTTAATTTAAAAGAATACAGACAAGAAGGACAAAAAAAAAAAATAGAGTGGGCATCTTTTTTTTTTGCGTTTTTATTTTTTGAAATAAAAGTAGAAGGATCTGCTCAAGATCCTTTAAAATTATTTCAAAACAGCCAAACAGGTTGAGTGGCCAAGGCGCATTCTAGAAAACACGAGTTCTCAAACTGGGTGTTCCAAAGAGAGATTTACAGGGTTTCTTCACCGCAAAAATGAACTATGCACCGTCGAATGCCCATCCTCCTCCCAAATGTAGGACCAGCAGTCCAAACCAGATGCCAAAGTTTCAGAACAAACCGCTATCTCCATAAAAAATTGTAAAAGTGATTTTTTGAAATTTTTAATCGTAAATTGGTGGCTGACGGGCTCTCAAATACTTGGATGGAGCTGAGTGGCACCAGTAACCAGAGACGGGAAAAACGGTCCAGTTTCCTATTAAAATCTTTAAGAAAATCGCAGCTTTTTTTTATTGGGATAACAATTAGTTCTGAAACTTTGGCATCTGGATTCGGACTGCTAGCGGTACATTTGGGTAGGAAATGGGCGTTCAGAAATGCATAATTTATTGTTGCGACAACAAAAAATTGAAAGTTGTTTACAAATCTCTGTAACGCGAAGTTAGAGCGCAGCTCTTGAGGAGGAGGAGGGGAGGGTATGGAGGAGAGGGTATGCCCCTCCTCCTCCTTCCATCTTCCCCCTCCTCCTCCTCCTCTGTACCTTCCCCTCCTCCTCCTTCCATCTGCACGTGACATTAGTTATCCCACTAAATCTAGCAGTGAAACTGAATTGGTGTTGAGGTCCCATGACGTCAATTTCCCTCTACACCTGTCTGAGAAACTGAGCTATATTTAGCGGAAAATTTAATGTCACATGATCTTAATACCAATTCGGTTTCCCCGCTTAATTTAGTGGCGAAAAAGGCGTCACATGACTTGGTGACACGTCACCTTTTCATAGGTGACGTGACACCAAGTCACGTCACCTAGCTAGGGCAACAAATTATTCTGTGATCTGCTTTGCGTTACCAAACTTAGTGGCACCGGTGGATGGGAGAGTTCAGTTAGCGAAGGTTCGGTGTTAAGAAAGGAGGTGGGTGCCACAACAATTTTTCGTGTCCTTGATGTGTCACTTAGTTTGCTGTTTCAGTTGCGGAAAAAGGCTGTTGTTTCCTCCCTCTCCGTTTTTTTGTTTTTCCACGGTGCCTATTTAAGCATTTTTTGGCAAATGAAAACTTCACCTGTGTTTCGAACCTTCAGTGTTTGTGTCATTTTCTACCTGCAGTTTCTGTTGTTGTTTTTTTGTCATGTTTCTTATTAAGATGGAGAAATTTGAGAACCCCGGCTATAAAAGCCAGAATTGCCGAAACTTCTGGCGTTGTTGCAGCCTGTGACTGCAACGGCATTGGGTCCCTGGACAACTTCTGCGACGCCCAGACGGGCCAGTGTAAGTGCCGCCCCAACACGTACGGGCGCCAGTGCGACGAGTGCCAGCCGGGCTACTGGAACTACCCCAACTGCCAGCGCTGCGAGTGCCACGGACACGCAGACACCTGTGACTCCCGCACGGGACACTGCAGCCACTGCCGGGACTTCACCAGTGGACCGCACTGCGACAGGTCAGAACCGGCTTGGACTCACCCTCATTCGTACATTTCGCGCCGTTTTTATTGCGCATGTAGTGACGTAAAAGACGGATGTGAGATGCACAGTCACAGACCGTGGCTCAGCTCTATCTGGAGTATTCTTCTAATGCTTTACTTGAGTTGGCAGTATCGGCGAAAATTGAGTTCCATTATGGTGCCTAGAATCTGTCTGACTGGGGTGTTTAGCATCCCATAGGCTGTTTTCACTGATTAAAAGGTTAAAAGGCGCAAACAAACAGGACGAAGAAAGAGACACGTACGACACAGACAGGCGCCTTTCAACCTTTTAATCGATATGAACCAACTAGCCCCAACCAAAGTTTTATTGTTTTCACTGACATCATTTTGTCCCCCATTTTTTTTTTTATATACGCTTCCCGCTGCGTGCTGAGCATTCTTAAGCTTCACACGACACCCTCAGGTATGTAATGCACGAAAGCTTATAAGGTTCATCACAGTGTACCAACAAAATGGTGGATTGATGTGACATGAAAACACTCTACTCCTCCCATGCAGTTGGTTACAAAATGTGTCGCAGGAGCTGGAATGTCGTGCCGTCGGATGTCGCGATCCTGGTGGTTGGTTGGTTGTAGAAGTTTGTGCCAGAAATACGAGCCAGTGCATGTGTTACTATTGTCGCAGTGTCCCAATTCGTGGGTGCCAAAGTTTTGTGGGGACTACCGAGTCGAAGAATGGCCTACGGCTGAACACGCGTCTGCTGCATTCAGCTCCACTGCTGTGCCACTGCCAGGATTGGGGCAGGCAATAGCATAGAAAGTCTGGGATGTCATAAGAAGGAAATCGAGAGACCAAAAATGAGAATGTGCGCGCACACATAAGTTGGAGATGCACTCCAGCTCATATTTGCATTTCTTAATATTCTGCGTCGATGCCAAGGCCTTTTGTCGTGGGAACTGCGCAGTGCCCAGCATCGAAAAGCAGAACAATCAGTTATGAGCCCAGCTGTTGTGAAAACAAAGCCGGCGGCTGTCAAACGTTTTCAGTAAGGAGGATGCTGATGCATGCAGCATGCTTACTGTACTGCACCCAAAGTGATAAAAACAGGCGAAAGGAAGATATTTCACTTGTAGTCGAGCACTAATGGAAAAGAAAAATATTTGTTGTCTTTCTAAATTCGAATGTGAGTTAAATTCGAGCCACTCTGCGCTTTTCATAAGCGTTAATTTACCGAGTTGATTGCTCGTGGAGTCGTAAATAATGGATAATGCACTTTTAACGCACTCAGAGGTCATCACATGGCAGAAACATATTGTCTGTGAGCAGAACGACAATGAACTCGGTTGGTAGAGCCTGCATCAAGGGGACGAAATCAACCCCTTTGTTTGAAAATTGTTGAAAGAAGGGGAGGGTGTGGAAGAAGAGGTGAGCTAACAACAGTGGAAAGCAGGAAGTGTACGTCAGTCTGTAAAAAGCAGGTGTGTGCTGGGTCATTGATTTTGCAAAGTTGTTCTTGAGATGCCATCTCCATTGGGACCGACTGTTGCATGCAGGTGCGAGACCGGCTTCTACGGCGACCCTCGGTACGGTGTGGACATTCCGTGTCGCCCGTGCCCTTGCCCCGGCACCATTGACAGCGGGGTGAACCACGCCACCAGCTGCGACCTGGATCCCCGCACGGGCAACGTGGCCTGCCACTGCTCTCCGGGATACGTCGGTGGGTTTGTCGCTGCACCAACCGAGCGTTGACTGCTGTCGATTGACCTCCTTACGTATGGCTTGCATGTGACTTTACTGCACCATGCTCGGGGTCATTCCTGCTTGTTCTTGCTCCCGAAAAGAAAGTGAATGATTTAAGATATGGGCTGCAGAAGCTCTTTCCTCAGCAGAATGGACACCAAAGTGGCAGCTGGTATGACGTCAATGCGAGCCATATGTTCATTGCTGCCAGCTTTTCTCAACTGGCAGCTTTTGATGACCTTCGGGCACTTAGAAAAGGGTCTCTGATACCGCATAATCTGTGTTTTTGTGATATTGTCCTAAACTATTGAGAACGATGACTAAGAGAGCACCATGCAAATCTGAAATTTGGGCGGAGCATATTAATAAAAACAAAAATAGCTACAGGATTTTAAGTTTGAAGTTTCTGCATGAAGAAGCGCATCAGAAGCGAAAATTGCCTTTTGTGTTTGCGTTTTGGTGCCTGCTCTGTTGAGAAGTTGCTTGTCTCACTTCCACTTGGGTATGGCATGGGCAGTAGCATCCGCTACTATCCACAAGCATTGTGCACTGCAACGATATTGCAATACAATCATTTCCGCAACCCTCTGTGAGACGACAATGCTCAATGCCGAGATCAAAGCCCAAACTTTTGGGGTACTTTAATGCACCATTGTACTATTGTCCTCCAGGTTGTGAAATGCAAAACCATACCAGCCGCCTTGACTTCTGGTCACTCTCTTTGATATTTTGAAATCAACCTGCTTGTTTGGTTCAAGACAGCTGTTTACAACATGTTTCATAAAAATTGCTAGCATATCTTGCGAAAGGAAATGAGGGAAAAATCCTCCAAGTAAAAGATGAAGAAGAAAAAAAAAAATTTTAACCTACTGTAAAATACCGGGGGAGTCCCCAGCCCACTTGCAATCTTGTATAGATTGCAGAATTTCCAAGGCTGGGGAATGTTAATAGTGAACGCTTGAACAAAGTAGGCTCTTCTGTGGTATTTTACGGTAGTACGTTTATATGAAATGTGCGAAGACGTCGGAGAGGAATTTAATTGTATCTTAATACTACGGACAAAGCCGGGATGCACGATGTGCAACATGATTTGAGCGCCTCCCACTATGGAGTGACCAAATTTTTTGCACTATTAAGAGTACAAAAATACAAAATATCACCATGCTAACCAAATCCTTTCCGCTAGCACAGGGGATAGGTGTGGTATTACCGAACAAGAGGTCAGTGGTGCGATTCCCACTGAGGAAGATGGTCCTTTGCAAAGACACCTGGCCATGTCATCATAGCTTTTGTTACAACATTATTTGTTACAACTCTATGCTTTGAATCTAGTCCTAAAACAGTTTTTGGGTTTAAAAGTAGCTCTTAAAGCATCTATACAGGCGAACTCCTGTGATACATTATTCAGGGAACTGCGATAAAAAAAGTTATCCGTGAAAATGCAATAACTCTCGCACAGTAATTTGGTTTGTCGACCTTCACAAATACAGAAAGTTTCGCATAACAGCACCTCATGCACCTAAGGCTTTTCATGAAGCAATTTCTAAATGATCAATCAGTGCAGAAAGCAAGTTTGTCTGCTTCTTGCACAGGGGTTGCGATGATGTCAGAAACTGACATCATCGCAACCCATGTGCAGTTTCAGTCAGAAATTGACTGACTGAAAAAAAAACAAAAAAAAATAGTGGGTAGATCTCAAGGCATCTAGCATTGAGGTCTAGCCACTACATCCTCCCAATCTAAGCCAATCAGAGCTTGGCGTTGCTCTCACGTCACCGCAACTCCTGCATAAGAAGCAGACGACTTGCTCTCCGCGTAGGTGTCAACATTTGTCAATTGTTCAATTATAATTTTATTACAGGGCATGAAGGGGCTGATTTCAATGAGATGAGCATAACGTTACAAAAGAGCATCATAAAAAACCATGGTACAGCCGCTAAATTTTGCTAAATTAAGTTAGTACAGCTAACTAATATTATTAATTAGGGTAATCGCGATAATTAATTATATTTAGAGGGCTACACTCATACTTTTGCTGCACACTGCATCTCCTGACTTTATTCTTCGGATTGATTCTAAAATATGCGGACGAATGAACCATACTCTATCGAATCTAACGAGGGTTAGTACGAAGCCGCCGAAAGATAGTCTTTGGCAGAGACAAGACTCAAACTCTGGGCCTCGCAATTACTGGTCGGGCATCCCAACCACTATACCACACCGCCTTGCCCTTTCGGCATTACCCATCTGTCTTGTTAATGTACCGAAACGAAGTGCATTCAGTCAAAGGTATTGATACATTAAAATTTTTTAATTCAAATCCACTCCAAACTGGAGCGTCTGGCACGTTCAAAATAGCATGTTGCTCGCACAAGCCCCGCTTTTTACGCTGTCCCAATGCATGTTGCAGGGGAGCGCTGTGACCGGTGCGCCAACAACTACTACGGGGAGCCCAACGCGCCGGGCGGGGAGTGCCGGCGCTGCGAGTGCAGCGGGAACACGGATGACACGCAGCCGGGCAACTGTGACTCCCGCACGGGCGTGTGCCTGCGCTGCCTGTACAACACGGAGGGCCACCACTGCGAGCGCTGCAAGCCGGGCCACTACGGGGACGCCTCGCGCCAGCAGTGCCTCGAGTGCGTCTGCAACATGCTCGGCATGGACCACACCAGGGGATACTGCGACGCCGTAACAGGTAGGGCTCCCGGACAGAAATCCACGCTCGGCGTTTCTATGGCGCTCAGAACACGTTCTCCGATTGGCGCGCTTACCATGTCCTCGTAAGTGGTCCCTCGATTTTCGCCCGACGACGTTGTGGAAGTGTCGGCGTTGTCGCCGGCCACGGTGCGCCTGACGTGGTGGACGTGGTAGACGCCTGTTCTGCTCCAGGTCGCTCTCCAGCTTGACAGTAAAAAAAACAAAAAAATTTCACCACCAGAGTTGGGACTTCGCAAAGATTGGGTTTGCTCGTGCTCTTTGCCAGGACTTCTAGTGATAGTCGCTGGAACCACCACATTCGACAACATGACACGCTGGCTTCTGTGGTGTCATTCGTTGTCACTTTGGGACCGCTTTTGATGAATGGGCGGGACGGGATGCTAAACGCACCAGTCAAAGACGCATTCCAGCCGCCGTAACATTCCTTATAAGGACTAACGAGCATTGTTGCGCGAATGCGCGAGACGTACCATAATTACTTGTGTGTGACCCGCATCAAAATTTATGTGCGGAGCGCAAGTTCGTCCGTTTCTTTTGCAGGGGTTGTGGTGATGTTAGAAAGACGTCGAGCTCTGATTGGCTCTGATTGAAGGATAGAGGGTAGACCTCAAAGATAGCTGTCTTGGGGTTTACCCATTATCCTTCAATCAGAGCCAATCAGAGCTCGGCATTCTGACGTCACCACAACCACCTGCAAAAAAAGCGGACGAACTTGTGCTCCGCATAAAATGAAAGGCGAAGTGGGGGTGCAGGTTATAAGCGAATTTCGGCAGGCAGTGCGGCCTCGATGCTCACGAAGCTGTAGGGACCGATTCCCCACGGGCCCTCTTCTCCGGACTCTTCTAGGGGCTTTCTTCTCCTCACGTAGCCATCTTCGCATTGCTTTTGCGGGCTGAGCAACTGACGTCTGACCGTCCAATGCTGCTCCACGCTGACTGTCATCAGGTCCGTTGCCGAGGAGATCGGAAACCAAGCGGCAGGCCGGAACTACGACGGCTACGACGTTGACGAGTCATGCATGCGAGAATCGAGGAAGAAAATTCACAGGGTCTCTTCTGTTATCCCTAGGACGACTTCGAGGCAAAAGCCCAAGAGCCAATCCCGGTGATAGCGAACCTCCGAAGACAGCGCGCTCTCTGACGACACACTTTGGGTGCTATTAATCTCGCGGCATGTCGCACGCCCGCTCTTCACTGCTGCCCGAGCGAGAGTGTCCTCCTCTCCCACTGGGTTTGTGCTGCGCGCGCGCCTTCGCCGATTCTGGCGCAAGTAACGCCATCTCGTGGTACAGTGGCAAACTGTGGGTTTTGGTACCTTTCGTGTCACCGATGCGTTTTCATACCTTTTGTGTCGCCGACGTGTTTTTATACTTTTCATGTTGTCAACGTGTTTTCACTCAAGGACTTCGAAGGTCGACTGAACGATGAGACATATAAGGTTTGCCTTTATGGAGCCTGCAAACCGTAAGCAATGACCGAAGATCATTCCGCGATCCGAAGACTGGTGCCACGGCTGGTGCATACCAGCCGTGGCATATACAGTCTAAGCTCGTTATATCAGACCTTGATTTTGACCAAGATTTTGGTCTGTTGTAGAAGGAGTATGTTGTATGCAGATATGAAGTTGAGTCAATGGTGCATAGAGGAAAACCAACCGAACCTCACAAATCGATATGTTATATCCAAATATCTGTTGTAACCAGGTCTGTTATAATGAGCTTAGACTGTAGCAAGAAGATTTTTAAGTCCCCTTGATTAGGTATAGCTGGGCATCGCGAAGCTTCTTCGAAAAGAGAAGAAGTTGCAGTCACGCTGTATGGCAGAGGTCCAGCGTGACCGCGGCTTTTCCAGACGAGATTGTGAGAAACAGTTTCAAAAATTGCGTGACGGCACAGATGACGATGCTATCTGAAGCAATGATGGCACCTCAGATGATAGCTGCAGTGACTGCAGCAATGAGTGTATTCAAAATAAAGATATGGTTTCTAGCGAGATCTGGACATTGCTTTGCATGGTTAGTGCTGATAATGTGCGGGGCATTTTTTTGTTTTTTTCCGAGAGTAGTGAGGTGGGGGTGCGGGTTATATGAGGGGGAAGCATTTGCTTCTGAGGACCACTCATTTTAGTGCTGAGCTGCCACTTGCTTCCAAGGGTCACATGAGGTATGGGCCTCATGAGGTATGGGCCCCATGCCTTGGTGCATTTAAGGCTAGTAGCAAGACAAACACTAACACATCAAGGGGCTTTAGTCAGGTGACACCCAGAATCAACTGGGATGAGATTTGGAATGAGTTGCAACATATACAGTCTAGGCATCTGCAAATAGTGGATTTTGAGCTCAAAGCAAGTTTAAAGCGAATACTAGTAGTTTGGTTGAATAATTTTGAATCAAATATCTAATAGTTTCTCTAAGCCTTTCACTACTGCTCCATGCTTAAAAGAAAACCCAGCTGAACTTGTGAAGGTTGTTGCCAAGCTTCCACTTGTCTAGTTCTAGTATAAGTTCATTTTAATCTAACTATATTTATTCACTGTGACCTTTGAAAAGGTAATGCCTACATTTAGATGGCAAGTACACGACACATTTGACATAAAGTTAAACCTTTAGCAATGCTCAGCTATACCTAATCGAGGGAATTTATTAATATCCTCGCTATATGCAAACATATTTTTTTTTATCATGTATGCTTAACATATATTTTCAGGGCATCTCTACTTAACACACAATACTCATGCATGCCAGTTTAAATTTTAAGATTTTACTGCAATGTAGATATCACCATTCACAAAGTTTCTGTTTTTTTGTTTTTTTTTAATACACCAGGTGCTTGTATGCACCATGCCGCTTTGAAAATGGGCTTTCCTCCTAAGCCCGTGGCTGCAATATTTCTACTTTTCTAAATGTTGATCGCGGAAGGTTAGCCCTCTTGAGTTCGCTTCTTATCAAGCATCGGTGCACTGCAAAAAAGCCACACCTGTTGAACCAAGCTTAGCTGGCCTTGCTTTACTGCAGTGGACCGGTGCTCGGTAAAGGTGTATCCACACGACGGACCAAATTGCTGTTTTGGTCCGCGGGCCGCGCATCACGTGATCTTATGTCACCGCTTTTCGAGGTCCGCCGGCGGTCCGCGGCCCGCGCTTGTGAGAAATGCCAAGCGACTTTTCTCGCCCGGACCTTGGCGGCGGACCGCAGCGTTTTTAATATAATTGAAGTGATAAGTCTGGCAGCAAGCTGACTTTTGTTGTTCGGATTGGAATCTAAATCGAAAGTCGTGTTCTTTTGGCGCCAACTGTTGAAGACGAAGAAGACAAACCTTTTGTTGTGCGACGATGGCGGCATGGTGCGACGATGCAACTTTTTACTTCACCGCGCTCGCGGAGCAATTCACGCTTTGTGGGACGATAGTTGCATGCCCTTTTTGGGTTCACTTAAGTCCTCCTCGTCCTCAATAGTCAACGCCAGGGCCACCGCAGCCAAGCGTCTCTTTCGTTCAACCTCCATCTTGGCTCCTTACAAATAGAGCTCTATACTCCTCCGTAGGAGCTATATTGTGCTCTACTTACAAATAGCCTCAAAGCAGCTCGCTGCATGAGTTTGACGGAGCTGTGACGTCGAGGGTTGGACCGGCCCGTTTCCTCTGTCGTCTGCTCTTTTTGTCCGCCGTGTGGATGCTCATTGTAGCCGGGCGGCCCGCAAGCCGCGCATCACGTGATCAATCGGTCCGCGGCCCGGTCTGTCGTGTTGATACATGTTAAGAAGCACACTCACCGGGCTAACGTAACACGATCAACACTTCAAAAAATATGAATATTGCAGTTCTCGAAGCGAATATCGAATTGCATATTATTTGAAACTATTATTCGAAAATTTGCGTGACACCATAAATGCATAAATAAAAGAGGCGTACAAAAGCATGAGGCAGTTGCCAGCTTAATAAATTTGAGCATGTTGATAATGTTACAAGAATAAATGGAAAGCAACAAAAATGATGAAGACAGATTTTGTCCCATCTTCATTCTTTTTTTTTTTTTTGCTTTACATTTATCGTATATGAAGTTTGGCCCAAACGCATGCCTTTAGCACCTTCAAAGAACTTTGATCACCATGGTATATTTGTTTTTAGGATGCGTTATGGGGTACAGCCATGAGTGCAATATTCGTCTCCTCCGAAGCAAGCAGTAGTAGGGTGGCCGATCTATGACTGAGTCGACTTACAATCTTTTGTTGATGCATAGTCATTCACCAACAACTTCCTAAACATGGCTAATTCTGTTGCAATTCGTGCGATGGTACAAGTGGCCTTGGTGCTCACACGCCATTCCCTCTGTTGCCAGGCCAGTGTCCCTGCCTGCCAAACGTGGAGGGCCGGTCGTGCGACCGCTGTGCCCCCAACTTCTGGAAGATTGCCAGCGGGGAAGGGTGCGAAGACTGCGGCTGCGACCCCCAGGGCTCGTACGACCTCAAGTGCAACGAATTCGACGGGCAGTGTCCCTGCAAGCCGGGCCACGGAGGTCGCCAGTGCAACCAGTGCCAGGACCTCCACTGGGGAAACCCCAGAGTTCGTTGCTACCGTGAGTTTGATGCAAACACCAAAGCCGGTCGATTTAAAAGCACTCTGGTTGCCGGTGCACCGATATACCGTAATATCGCGTAAGGACGCCCTCCCAGAATGGAGAGATAAATGGTAAAAACATGGGGTGGGCCATCTTTGGGGATGTGAAAGCAACTTTTTATAAAAAGTTAGCGATGAACATTGGGGCACTCACTAAGAATTACATGACACTGGAACTGATACCGTAGATTGCAGGTGGGGCGAATTCAAGTTCTACTATACGATAAACGCGTGGAAAATCGCTACAACCTCCGGTGTCTAGGGAAAAGATACCACAGATTGCGGATGCAACATATATACACTTCACTGTGCAACAAACGCGCGGGAACCCGCCACAAACTTGCGTGACATGGGAGCCGATATCGTGCATGCAGATCACGAACAGAAAAACGGAAGAACTCGCTACGAACTCGCATCTTCTCAGAACGGACACCACAAATCGCGGATGCTGCAGATTCGTGTTTCATGGTGGGATAAACACGCGAAAACCTGGTACAAACTTACGTGTCACAGAAATCGATGTCACATTACGGGAATCGATATTGTGCGTGCAAGTTCTCGACACAGAAAACTCTGATTCGGTTCTATGGTGCGATAAACACGCGGGATCCTGCTACGAACTCGTTTGTCACACGTACCGATACCACAGATCACGCAGTTTTGTGTGAATGCTGTCGGAAATTGGGATTGGGCAACGTCTCGGTATTTTTAGCCTCTCAGGGAGGTTCATGCGAGATTTTACGGTACATTTATTTTTCTCTCTATTTCCGACGAACACAGAGTGTGAGTGCAACGTGCCCGGGGCGGCCACGAGCCAGTGCCACCGCAACAACGGCAGCTGCGTCTGCATCCCGGGAGTGGCGGGCGACCGGTGCCAGGAGTGTGCTCGGGGCTTCACGGGCAGGGCTCCCTACTGCGACAGCTGCGGAGAGTGCTTCGACAACTGGGACCGCATCATCCAGGAACTCAAGGGTGAGCGGCATCTTTCTTTAACTCATGAGATGCATTCGAACGAAACCAAGCCTTCAAAATTTGTCTTTCATCCTCCGTCCATCTTCCAGCCAGTCGCGGGTTTCTCTAGTTTTGCCAAAACACATTCTATGGAAGCACGTTTCGTGGACAACTTTTCGTGGACGCACGTTTTGTGGACACACATTTCGTCAACACTACAATGTTTCGTGGAAACTTGTTTTATAGACACGTGCTGCTGCGACGTTTCATAGATATCATATTCTTGTTACTAAATGAATTGGTTAACTGGATTCGATTGGATTACAGGATTCACTAAGGGGGAATCACCCAGGCGGCTTCTGTGGGGCAAAAACAGATTTGCAAGCCTTTATGCTAAACATTCAAACACTTCACGCATAGTGCAGACACCCCTCTCTTCACTCGGGGAAATTTTAATGTGATCTTAGGCCCGAGCCTGCACCGAGAATCATTAAAACCGCCGCCCCGGTGGCAACTGTGGTGCTGTGCCTGGAAAGACGCTTTCGACTAGACGTCGCAGTGTGCATCGATGAAACGAATGCAGGAACCTTTTGATGACACAAACCGTCGACGGAATGATCCGTCGAGGAAACATTGTTCCGCGAAAGGATTGCCACCGGCCACTCACTGACTAGCGGTGGCGCATGTCACTGGCATTGCCAACCAGCGACGCATGTCTGTGGTCTTTTGAGACATAGCAATGGCTTTGGAGTACCGCCAATGCCGTATGCAAGCCGTCGATTCCACGTCGGTTCTTAGCGTGTTGCAGGAAGAAATGCACAATGCCTTTCCAACTAGGCACAAAAGAAGGCTCGGGATGCGAAATGTAAACACGTAGAAAGAGCTCTGCAGTTCATCGAAGCCAAGACTAGGATGCAGAGTGCAACTACGATTGAAGAGTCAAACTATTTATGATTCAAATGTTAATTAACCTAATAAAATAACGTCTCGAGTCATACAAATAAAAAAAATGGGCAAAATCTACAGAACGATTGCATATCATGCATCGTCAAACTTTGTCTCAAAGTAACCGCTAATTTTTTGTGCCCAAGCTTTTCCAGCTCAGGAACAGCCTCAGGTATGCTACTCCACTCACTGATGCACCACTACGAGCCAGACAGTTTCCCCTTCCTCTTTTTTGTTGCTTCAACACTTACTGTTAAATGCAGGTTCTGAACTCCTGATAGTTGATTTGTTATTGAGACTGCTGGGAAGGTTCATCGCTATCCTTTCGGTACACATTGCCATTTAGAAGACTGTTAAGTTCTTGAATGTATTTTAAGGGCACAAAAGTCGAGATTTATGTCCAATTATCGTGACCATATCGTGCTGTCGACAGCTGAATTCAACGGGACGCCACTATGATTATCGCATTGTCGTGTGGCTGGTGCCACGAGTCCCGCAGCCATGTGAAGTATGTCGTGCCATGCCATGTCGTGTAATGTCACGGTGCCATGTGACTTGCTGCAAAGTCCAGATGTCTTATAATGTCACGGTGTCAGCAATGTCATTAGATCTAATAATGTTGGGTATTGAGTCATGGTGTAACGTGATGCAATACCATGCGACCACATCGTGTGGCATAAGGTTATATGATGTCATGTGACAATAAATCACAACGTGACGGTGACGTCACGCTGCACAGATTTGCACATGTCGCTAACATACTTTGCAAAGGGGCGTCTGGGCGGGAGTGCCTGAGGTAGTGCCCCAACGTTTTAAATAATAACAATAATAATCTATTTCTACTCGAAAGGGTCGAGGTGTGCGAGAAAGGTTGAGAGCCTGCCCGTCTCACTTGGTGCGCCTCGTCCCTTCCAGAGGAGACGCAGCAGATGATCCACTCGGCGCGGCAAATCAAGCAGCTGGGCACGGCGGGCGTGTACACGCACGAGTTTACCGAGATGGAGGACAAGCTGCACGACGTGGAGGAGATCCTCAACGGGGCCAACATCACGGGCCTGGACCTCATGGACCGGCAGTCCCTCATCGAGGAGATTCGGTGCGCTTCTCGGCACCCCCGAGGGGGTTGCAAATGTCGCCACCCCCGTCTCGAAGCTGGCTCGCGCATTTGCGTTTGGGCACTAAAAATGTATACGTAGATCGGAAGACGAGAAATGTGCTTGGGCTGCCCAATAGATTGTGCCAGTGTGCCATTGTCTCCTCCATCCGTAGAGCCTAGATTTAAGAGAAGGATCGACTCTACCTGTGGAGAGCGTCCGTAGTCTAATGGCGGACGTTTCCCGCTCAAGTTGGACGTGTGTGCATGCGTCGTCCACTGGCAAGGAGGATGCGGTGGTGGAGGGAGGGAGCAAGGCAGAGACACTTGCGGATGATTGACCTTTTTGCCTCCTCCTCGAACCAGCTGTACTGTCGAGACCGGTTATAACGGAATAGCAGCTACAACGAAGCGATCACGATTTGCCATTCCCTTTTGCACTTCGTTAACCGAAGTCGGTTATAACGAAATAGCGGATATAGCGAAGTGATTTCCGATTCCCGTTGACTTCGTTATAACTGGCCTCGACAGTACTTCGAACGCAGTCTATAAATCGCTCGACCCCGATCAAACAGCTCAAAACACTCGCGAGTCTGGGCACCCTAGTGTTTTCTCGACGTCAGCTGTTGCGAGCAAGCTCGGAGCACTTAAGCACGCTTAAAGGCAAATGCGTGAACCGGGCTTTAGTCACGGTGATTTCAGCCCTGGAAACTTTCAGAAGTGGCTTTTGTGGAACTGGGCTCTTGACCCGCCGAAACGACTGGGCCGCAGGCGCAACCTGACGGAGAGCCAGCTGAAGCTGGACGAGGTGGACCAGCAGGCCCAGAACGTGACCCAGCGCACCTTTGCGGCCAACCTGGCCCTGTCCGACATCCACGAGCGGGCCCAGAAGCTGGGCCAGGACGCCAAGGCGCTCAGGGACAACACCACCGCCCTGCAGGAAGCCAACGTCGAAGGTGCGTCTCGTCTAGACTCACACGAGATACGCATCCAATTCTCTCCTGTTACCTTCCGTCATTTCTTTGTGTTGCGTTCTGCCGAGTGCACATTTTCGACGAGATTCGGACAACAGTGCAGTTCCCGTTCTCGGAGAGGTTTATTGGCTTGATGCGATGCGCTATATTTAGGAGGCAATGTGAGGTGAATGTAAAATCCCAACTCCTACATCATGGTACTACACCCGTCGTCACCGACGTTTTTCCCTTTTCATTCTCTCTTCTCTTCTGCTTTTTTAAATCCCTGTTCCCCTACCCCCGGCACGATGTAGCTCTCCGGAACGACTGGTCCAGGCAAACCTCTCAGTTTTTTCATCATCTCTATCTCTATCACTCACTTAAGGCTAATGAAGTAGAAACAAGACAACTTTGATTTGAGGTACGACGTCCTCGAACCTCCTGGAAACCTGAGAGTGGCAGACAATGTGTCACCAAGAGTCTTAGCTTGTTTCGAACTTGATGCGCTTTGTTTGGAAAAATAGTCTATATCTTTTTGACTGGAATTGTGGCTTCCGTGATTATGAGATCAGTGCCCGCGATTCACCGAAGCCTCAATTTTGTTCCAAATCTGACCCACAGCAGCTGTTCAAAGTATATTGCCGTTTTAACGCAGAATGTCTGACATGGCTGGCTCCTAGCAGTTTCCTGTAATGCAGGTTCCTGTAAAGAAAGAGCACCACGCGAAAATTCGCCAGTCTAAAAAAAGCACCCGGCAAAGCCTGAAAGCACTTACTTTTGAACTGCAGCCCCTCCGGTTGTGAATGCATTGCTGAACCAACTGGGCCAACAGTACATGTGGGAAAGGCAAGTGTGAAATGTTGCCACAAGGCAGCGACTGCATTTGCACATATAGCATGAGATGAGAGTGTGCAGGAGGTGAAGGGAACGAGAACAAGCATGTGCTTTTAGAGGAAACAAGGAGACGCAAAATAGCGGGGACAAAGCTGGGGTGTGCAGTCGCAAATGCAGATTCGTTACACAACCAGAGGGGCTGCAGTTCAAAAGTGAGTGCTTTCAGGCTTTGCCGGGTGCTTTTTTAGACTGGAGAATTTTCGCGTGGTGCTCTTTCTTTACAGGGACCTGCGTTTACAACTCCGTGTAACGCCAAAATAGAGCGCAGTTCTTGAGGAAAAGGAGGGAAGGCTACTGAGGGGAGCGTATACCCCTCCTCCCTCCTCTTCATCCTGCCTGCTACTTCTCCCCCCGAACGGCGTAGGCGTAACCGTGAGGTCACGTGACCCTCGTGACGTTACGGGGGTTCGTGGGGGTTCGTGACCTTACTGGGGTCACGTGTTGTAACCGGGGTCACGTGACCTCACGAGGATCATGTGGCCTCACGGGGGTCACGTGACCTCACGGGGCTCACGTGACCTCACGGGGTCCAGGACGTCACCGGGCTCAAGTGACCTCAGTGGGGTCACGTGACCTCACGGTTACGGCGACGGTGACGCCGCTCAAGCCGGAAAGGGGCACCTAAGAGCTGCGCTGTAAAAACAATCCCAAAAAACCGAGACTAGTGTTAAAAAGGGGACAAGACAAGCTTGAAGCCTCAAACTTTCATTTGAGACTGTGTTTGTGAATTGTCTCCCTTTTTTTAATCTACTCTTAAGATTTGAATTACTTGCATTCAATTTACACCAGCTTGTTTGTGCACTTCTTTTTTGTTCAGTGATGCCGACTGCATTGCACCCTCAGTGAAGCACTGGCTTTGGCGGGACTTAGTTTCAGAGACGCATCACACAAAACAGCTCACACTGTCGAGGCATAAATTGCACACCAGGTTTTTCTGTGCACTATAATACCGAAGCAACACACAATGCGATCCGTGTTACTATTGCCCTTGCCATAATAATGCGGGGAAGGGGCAAATTTTTTAAATCTTGCCAACTCTCCTTATTTTTCTTTTTATATGTGTGTGTGCATTTTTTCTTCAGGGGCACTGAACATCACCCGGGAGGCTCAGAAGCGGTCGCAGCTAGCGGTGGCACGAGCCAGGGGTGCCCAAGACGACGTGATGAAGTCGGAGATGACGAGACGCGTCACTGAGCGCATGTTGGAGAGTGCCGCCAGCCGATACAATGACACCTATCAGGAGAATGAAGCAGCACTACGAAAGCTTCAAGAACAGGTTTGTTTTTCAAGGGATGCAAATTTTGAAATCGGAAAAACCAAAAAAATTTGAGTTTGTGAAAATATTTTTTTTTTGTTCTTTATGTTATAATGAGCCAACCGGAAAAATTTATTTATTGTAGTGGGTTCCTAATTGACGCAAAATTAGCAACGAATGAACAGTTGTGCCCCGAAAATTGTCGAAAACGTGACAGAAAACGCAAAAATAGAATTATCTATTGCAAAAGGAGCGACCGAGGACGGCGATGTCGGGCGCGTTCGAAAGGCAGTTTTCTTCTCTCTCAAATGGCGACGATAACATTGCTGTAGCGCCATCGTAAGGTGCAGAAAACGTCAAAATCCAGAATGCACTTCGGTGATGCTCATTGGCTTCAGTGAGCACGTGATCCGAGTGCGCGCTCCCATTGGTCGCGTGTGCGGTTGCCCGGGCGGGCAACAAGTGAGCCTCCTCCAACGAGGTAGAGGGGCTTGGAGCGATAAACTGGTATCCCTTTCACCAGGCAAAAGTGACCCCCACCCGACTGCCGCCATGTTGCACATTTTTGACCACTAGACACGTGACCTTAGAGTTTTACGTCTCGACTTTAACCAAGCACCGCAAACAAATAATTGCTTATTGATCTTTAATAACAGTACGGACGAGATAAGTTGTTTAGTTTGTCTTAAGTCCAAAATGTGCTTTTGCAACTAAAACTCGGGCAGCTTCGCAATGCCTCCGCTAGATGCCGTCAGCTGCGGTGCTGTATTTTGAGTTTTTATCGGAGCTCGACACCAATCTCTGCGGCTAACAGTATTCAAAAAATAGTTTATTATGTTTTTTACAGCGATATTGCAACACAAATCTTGGTTCAGTTTCGCGTAAACGCCTCAGGATTTGGTATGGTCACGTGTCTAATGGTCAAAATTGTACAACATGGCGGCGGCCAGTGTGGGATCACTTTTGCCTGGTGAACGGGATACCAGTTTATCGCTCTAAGCCCCTCTACCTCGTTGGGACAATTGAGCAATGCCAAAAGCGTATTGTAACGGCACTTGCCATCTTTGAGCGTTTGCTATATAGACCAATCACATGCAGAAAAATATGCAGGATTACACCGCATTCATGGCGTGCGACTTGTTTAGCCGGTGATAGCAGACGTGCAGTGACGATGAGCGCCATGACAATATACTTTTGGTGCTTCTTGACTGGCTGCATCGGGTCGTAATGTTGGCTGTGGTCGGACTTAATGTTAAACTGAGTATAGAACGCATCTTCAAGAACTAGAGCCCAGACAAGTGCGCGGCAAAAAGAACTAGCGTCCACGGTCGTGGCCAGCACTCCCATTGACGTTCGACTGCAGCATGAGCAGGTAGGCAAGAATTGCGAGGCTGATAAGATTTGAAGAACTTGCGCGGACCCATTGCGCACGTAGTTTGTTCGGTCGCCCTATTACCTGGGTTCTCGAACGTAGTTCGTAGTAACCCAAGAATTTGCTCGGCCGTACAAATTTTCTCTAATCATTTATGCATTGTGCCTATGGTCTTCCCTATCCCCACTGTTTGTTTCTTTATTTTCCCTATAATTGTTTCTATTCCGATTGTTTTTATGGTTATCCCTTTCCCCTCTGTCCCTGCAACTATCCCTATCCCTACGATTGAGGACAATCAATCGCATTGATCGTCCTCGAGCAAGGTTTCTTCCCAATTTAAGCGTACCTCAATAATGTATTGATGCACAACTATCAACCAAACATCAATGCCTTTCTCCCTGGTGTCATATATTTTCTACACCTCCGACTATTTCACTTTAAGAATGTTGAGACGAAGGAGTGGGGAAGGGAGTTACTAACCCTCGGCCTAAACCATCCCAGGTGGCCGACCTCGAAGACCAAATCTCGGACGTGAATGAGCTGGTGTGCTACAAGCGAGGCACCGTCGAGCGCTGCGACCCCGTGTGTGGCGGTGCGGGGTGCAACAGCTGCGGAGGTCTGGGCTGCGAGGATGGATCGGTGACACGCGCCAACAACACCCTGGCCATGGCACAGGAAACCAACGAACTTCTCGCCAAAAAGGAATCCGATGCACGCACTCTCTTTGCAGCGGTAGGTGTCATGCTGTGATCGATCATCCGGCACTTTCGTCGAAGATGGCTCTTTCGTTTTGATAAAATGACTTAAGCCTGTGCAAGTTACTGTCCCAAAGCACTTTATAAGCTCGTCGTAAGCATCCTATCAAAGCCTAAAATTGTAATTTTGTGCAGCCTTTTTTTTAAATTAAAAAGCAACCAAAGATTGCCGAGATATATCTCAGAAAAAAGGCGTTACGCTACCTTTGGTCGCGTTTTTGATTTTACGCGTTTCATATCCTGTGACTGACTTAAAAGTGTTTGGTAGAGCTAAAAAATATTTCCATCTGTCTGCTTTCATTCACGAGTGGCAGAGAAAAGAGACACATTTGTTCATGCTTTTGGGAGTCTTTCTAAAAGACCTCTTCTCCTTAAGATATCAGGAAAGGGGAAAAAGAAACACTGGAGAAAAAATTGCCCGACTTGGACATTCCTTTAAATGCTATGAATGTGTGATAGCACTTGATTGGGACACGTGACGATGTACAGTCGCCGACCAACTATTCGGACTTCGCAGGGACCGTAAAAACGTTCGAATAATAGAGCAGTCCGAAAAATCAGCAGATTGAAAAACTTGCCTTTATTACTTCCGAGTGGGCTTAAAAAAGCCGTAAATAGTGCCTTGCTTCAGGTTGCGCCTCCGTTTGCGTTCGGCAACTTCCTGTTAGCTTGAGGATCGCTGCCTTCTTTTCTAGTGTTATGGTTGAGTACTTTCTGCGTTTCTTAAGGACACATTGCGGCGGCAGAACAACAGATGGGGCCATGACGTCCAAGCCAGCTTTGTCCGAACGAGTGAGAGGCGCAAATCCAATACCGCAACATGGCGACAGGCGACGCGAATTTGGGGCGGATGTGGCGGATGCACGAAGGGATGGAAGGAAACAAAGCAAAATTATAATAATGATGATGATGATGACGAGCAGCTAAATGAAAAAAAAAAAGAACTAGCATAGCGTCACCTAGCGGTAGGACTCTGGAGTACTCAAGTAGCGTTGCCAAACCAAGCCAATTCATTTGCAGCCAACATAGAATTCAAAATGGCCGCTTCTCGGTGGTGTTCCCCGCTGATCTCTCGCAATGATTTTGTTCGAATAATTGATCTTTCGGACTTCAAGCTGTCCGAAACATTGGTCGCGAATATACACTATTTCTATGGGGTAAGTCACGGTTCCGCTTTTACGTCCGAAATATCGAACAAGTCCGAATTATCGGAGTCCAAAAAAACGGTCAGCGACTGTAATGACATGTGATGCCATGATCATTTCCCAGCTAAATTTAGCGGGAAAATCGTTAGCCGTCGTATGGTGTCGGGTCACGTGACACCGTGATATCACATCACATCACCACGTCATGTGACCGACATCAGTTTTCCCGTTAAATTTAGCAAGGAAATTGTTGTTATGTGGCCTGACATCATATTATGTGAGGTCATGCGACACCGTGACGTCATGTCACGTGACCACATCATGTGACCTCGGGTCACGTTACATCAATTTCACCGTTAAATTTAGCAGGGAAATTGACATCACATGACGCCATGGCCTTATCTGACACCACGACTTAAAACAGTCACGTCAATTTCCTCGCTAAATTTAGTGGGGAAATTGATGACACATGACGTGATGTTGTGCGGTCAGACCAACACGAGGAACAAAAGCCCGTAAACGGTTTCCATTATAAAACTATCGTTTTAAAAACTTAGGTTCATTCCCTGACTAATTCGAGAGGTTTAACTCTACAAGCTCGCAGGATATGTGTAAAAATCATAGATATATGGGCTGAGTCTGTACATATGCACTCACAAAATGAGGGCCACGTGGGCCCCACATTCTGCGCTAATGGGGTCATTTGTGGAGGCTGTTTTCTCACGACCACCGTTTTTTCAGGTGGGCAAAGCCCAGAAGGAGTCGCAGCGGGCGCTGGATGAGGCCAAGAAGGCCTTTGAGCGTGCTCAGACAGCAAAGAACCAGTCGGAGGACGTGAGCAGCGACCTTCAGGACTTGTTGGACCGCATCGACAAGTTCCTCAACGAGGCCGGAGCCAGGCCGGCCGAGATCCGTGTTTTGGCCGAAGAGGTGAGACTTTCCTTCTTTGTCCTCGAAGCAGCGAATACGTTTTTTGATCTTGACTCGCTAAGCTATACAGCTATGCACTGACAGTTCTCGAACGGTGTTCCTAGGAATTCGTCGGTTCCCCAGAGTACCGTCGCAGGTTCCTAAAGCTCCCAAGTTTTCCCAACCGCCCCAAAGTAAAGTATTTTTTATAGTAATTTATCGCGCTCGTTGCGGTAAGCACTCCAGGCATGCAGGCGGTGGGGATAGGCCGGGGCCTTTGCAGACTGTGTGCCCTCATCACCCAGCTGGAGGCAGGGTATGATATATACGAGGTGAAGGAGGGGAGGGGGTGTGGTATACGAGTAGAAGCAGAGAGGAGATGAGTTTCGGGCCAGAATGACCAGTGCGCAGAGGCAAAGCCAGCTGCCCCTGCCCCCACCCAACCTCCGAGCGCGCCCGAACATCAAACGCCGGCATCCGCCGCTTGGCACCCTAACACCCGGATGGGGGGACAAGGGCAGCCAGCCCTGCATCCACCCACCAATCACGCAGCCAGGGCCTGGCATCCCCACATGCTCCCTCCCCCTTCCCAGTTTTTGGTCGTGGGTGATATTGAGAAATTCGGCGTAAAATACGTGGGGTATAGGGGGCGCCGCCTAAGGTGGGTTTAGTTTGTTTCTTGACTGTGTGGGAAATCGTCGTGCAACACTCTCGGCACAGTCGAGCAGCAAACTTGTTGTCCTGGGACCAGCGGTAGCAAAGGTCGTGGTTGGTCTGGAGTCCTCTATAGGTGTCAGTCGACTTAAAAACCGACGACCAGCTCGCGCTTTCCACTTTTCCCCCGCTTCCTCCTCTCCCCCTTCTACCCTGTCCACCGTTGCCTGCGTCTTTCTCCCCCATGGTGAGGAGGATGTTTTGCCTTGCAGAATCTGGAGTCTGGTCGTCGGCCTTTAAGGGGTTGAATGAGTGTTAGGTCATCGGCATGCAGGATTGTTTTTGGAGTCGAGGCTCGTCGTCGGGTCATTGATGTAGATCAGTGGTTCTAAAATGGGGGTCCTGAAGGCATTCTTAGGGTCCCGAAGCCTTAGGCCATCAATCAAGCCAAGCACAAAAACTTTTTTTTTTTAGTGTTGGCTGTTTTACAAAGCTAAATACACCAGACCATGTGCACTGAGTGAGTAGAGTTGATTATTCTCCGTTTCAGAGAATCCAAATTGGTTTCCAGACATTTAGTTTCCTTCGTTTACCCTTTTGTCTTTATAATCAGCCAATACCCTCCCTTCTTTTTTGGTGAATGAGGTTCTCCACCACTTTTGTCAATCCGGATGGAGTACTTGAGACATTAGTGTTTAGAACCGCTGATGTTGATGGAGAAGAGTTCTGGCCCCAGTACGCTGCCCTGGGAAACTCCGGTGAGCACGGTACTGGGAGAGGATGATGAGCTGTGGAACACATCTTGCTGTGCTCTGTTAAATACCAGGTCATGTAGCCAGTGAAGAAATGTTCCCTGGATGCCAAGGCTGCGGGGTGGGTTACGTAGGAGTTTGCGACCGATTTGTTCGAAAGCTTTGGAGAAATCTCACTGGATTAGTTCACAAGGAACACGATTGTCAAGGGACGAGCTGATTGTGTGAACAGACACAGCCAAGGCAGCCTCAGAACCACGTCTTTGCCTGAATTCATGTGGTGTTGGTTTCAACGTATAACCTGCACCCCTACTTTGCCTTTGATTTTCTTTAAATGTTGATACAGGTTATACGTGAGAGAATGTGGTATAGGGCCATTTCTATTTTTTGCACTTTGAGCATTGCTTTTGGTTTACCGTATTTACTCGCACAATGAACGCACTCGCGTAATGAACGCACCCCCAAGTCGGCTCTCAAAATTTCGACTTCTTTTTTCACCCGCGTATTAAACGCGCCCCCAACTCCGACGTCAAAATTTTGACCCCCCTCCCCTCACGCGCGCAAAATGAACGCACTTTTCTATCCTGGTGCAGCGAGGTCGCGAATGCATGGGCAGTGTGGGCGAACAAAACGCCTTGCAAAAGGCGTTAAAAAATTCGAAAAGATCTAACGGAAGCAAGAAAAAAAAAAAAAAGGAGCTTTTTTTTTTTTGAACAGAGCAGTTTGGATTTTGGTGTCGCGCGCCGCGCGCAAGGAGGTAAGAAAGAAAGGCGGAGAAGCCCTCTAAGCAAACGAAACAGCTTGCAAAAAGCGGCAAAAAGGAAAAAAAAAACAAAAAACAGGGAACTAAGAGAAACCAAAAGCAAAGAGGAGCTTTTTTTCTTTTTTTTTTTTGCACAGCGCAGTTTGGTTACGGGGGGGGGGGGGAGGAGGAGGAGGAGGAGGAGGAGGAGGAGGAGGAGGAGGAGGAGGAGGAGGAGGAGGAGGAGGAGGAGGAGGAGGGGGGAAGGGAGAGGGAGGGAGGGAGCGAGCGAGCGAGCGGAGAAGCCCTCTAAGCAAACGAAACAGCTTGCGAAAGGCGGCAAAAAGGAAAAAACAAAACAAAAAAACCACGGAACTGAGAGAAAAAACAAAACGAAGAGGAGCTTTTTCTTTTTTTGCACAGCGCAGTTTGGTTAGGGGGCCCCTCCCCCCCCTAACCAATCTGCGCTATCTTTCTTATCTCCTTGCGCGCGCCGCGCGCAAGGAGATAAGAAAGATAAGCAGAGGAGCCCTGGCCTAAGCAAACGAAACAGCTTGCGAAAGGCGATAAAAAAAAAAAAAAGAACAACCCAAGGAACTAAGAGAAAAAGAAAACAAAGAGGAGCTTTTTTTTCTTTTTTGCACAGCCCAGTTTCGTTACCGGGTCGCGCTCCGCGCGCAAAGAGATAAGAAGTTACATCGATTTTTCAGGATAAAAGGGCCATTCATTATGCGAGTAAATACGGACGCAAACGTTTTACTTCGCATAATGAACGCCCCCCCTAACTTTGCATCGATTTTTGGGAAAAAAGTGCGTTCATTCTGCGAGTAAATACGGTATATTGTTTGTGTTTTATATACCTGCATTTTTGCACATGCTTTGTTTGTCATTATTTTATTTTTGTTTCTTGCTTTTCAAAGTCTGGCTGTTAAGGCCATTCCTATTGAAATCCTTAAAGATGCACTGAAGTGGTTTTAGGGGCAAAGCTCCTTAGGGTCTAGCTTTGTCCATCCGGCGTCAGTGTTCACATCGATTGCCATCCGATCTGTCTTCTTAAAAAAAGAAAAAATGTTTGCGCAGTTGGCAGGATTCGAACCTGTGCAGGGAGACCCGAATGGATTTGTAGTTCATCGCCTTAACCACTCGGTCACGACTGCGGGACGAGTAGGGGGCTCTGAGTTGTGGTAGTAACTCAAGAGCTGGGGATGTCATGGATGAAACGTTGCATGTAGCCGCTCAACGTCTATACAGGAGAGGGCGCTGCGGTCAAATGCGTATATAATCGCGTTAAACTTTGCATGCATTGGCTTAATGTTTATAGACGAGAGGGCGCTGCGGTCAAATGCTCAAAAAAGCGGTATTATCAGCACCACCAGAGCTTCGCCCCAATCTGTGTTCCTGAGTCTCAGGTTTTATTACCATGAATCATCACCAGCTCGCTCGTTTTTTAAGGATTATTGCAGTTATCATTCACCACGTGGAGATGCGGTCATTTTTTTGAGAACGTCCTTTTATGGTGGCAATGCAATCTGCGCGCTGGAAGCATTCCAAAAATCTAAAAATTACAGTCGTGCGTGGCCTATTTCCCTCTTTAAGAAATGTTCAAAGGGCGCGGACACGCCCTTTCTTACGGCAAATTCCTCGAGTGAAGTGGTCAAGAAAGGTGCTGAATGTGCACGTGTGCATGGACGGATCAGCGGAGTGGTTCTGGATCCCAAGTGGTCCCAAGCTGCCGCTGCCTCGGACAAACTATGTTTGAGCAGCTGTTTGCACGTGCACGTGATGGATATTCACAATCTGACGCCGTTAGAATTAGAAATTCTTTGGCGTATAAGACCGTTTGGGACGAACGCAACGCGTGCCAGCGCAAAACAACGTAGCAGCCGTATTGTATCACGCTCCGTATGGGACAAACCATGTGATCGGTGCGTGTGATTTTTCTGTGTCGTGTGGTCATGCTTTGAAGCAGCGATTTGGGCAGTGGTTAGCAGTTCGAAAAAGAAAAAATGATGGGAATATCGACGGAAAAAAAAAAAATTCCAATATTGCATCTGTCGAAGCTAGCTGCTTGGCAGGCTTGCTGGAGTCGTGTCGAATTGACTCCGGTGAATTCGCCGGGATACTTGGATGGAGGCGATGCATTACCTCCACAGCGACTTCTTTTTGACAGATGGGCAGTGTGCTATCATCATAGCTAGCCTTTCATGTTGACTCAAGGCGCTAGTGCAGAAGACGGTGTACAATGTCTAAATTACACAATGTACGCGTTCGAAATTCCGGCGCACTTTACAGAGCCTATTCAAACAATACAGCATTCGGTCCCATCTTCGTCGCGTACCGCTACTATCGTTTGCAAACTGAGACACCCTAGGTGAAAATTTCTGGGTGGCTAAACAGCAGATGTTTCACTAGCCAATCCCCATAGATATGACGGCGCTTGTTGTTTCGATCAAAAACAGCACAGCTGCCGGTGAGTATGACTAGCACATGATCATATATAGCACGCGCATTAGGTCATCCTTAATTCTATTTAACTCTCCCTTCTGCACGTCTTTGAGCTTCGAGCTTTTGCCGGCACAATGTTCATGAAGTCTCGCGCGTTAAGCCTACGAAGCATTTCGGGGGTAGCTTATCCTCGGAGCAGTCTACATACACGCACACACTCGCCCAGTCAATCGCACAATGTTAAATATTCACACTAACGCAGGAACACTATAACGGCACAGGAGACATCGCAGAACAGCAGGTTCAGATCGCAGAAATGAGCTTCTCTCACACTCCGACTGGCCCCGCGGCCCCAACGTCCAGATTCTCGAATGGGGCGCCCGCGCAAAGGCTTCTGGGAAAGCCACCGTCGTCGGTGTGCGGTTTGCTTTTCCGTCGTGCGCTGCGCCGACGCATGCTGGGCCACGTTGCGCTATGTCGCATTGCGCATGAGTCTGTATAAAGACTCCCGTTCGCAGCCAGCGTCGGCTAACGTAATCGGGCACGTGTGCTCGTCAACGTTACGACGCGCGACGTCGACGAGTGAAGCGCAACAAAGACAAACCGCGATGACCTGGCACGGCTAGGTGGCATAAGCTACCATCCGTTATAAAGAACATGATCAATATCCATCCATCCATCCATCCATCTAACGGAGTTGGGCGGACACATCACTCTGGGTCCGATGAAAGGCGAGAAAAAATATAGTTGGATAGTTTCGAAGCGAAATTTCTGTTTTGCACCTTTTGTACCATTAACATTTTGCATCTTTGTCAAAATGCGATGCACAACGTGCCCAAAATAAGGCGCAATGATATCAACCTTGGTCCAGAAAAAAAAAAATAGAGCGCGAGGGAAAAGAGTTTGCACGATTTTTATTGCCGTGAGATCAGTAGGCAGTATTGTAATCTGGAACTAGATACAGTTGTTGACTGACACGTATTAAACAATATAACACAAAAAGACAATTCTTTCTAAAAGCACTTCAGTGCATTTTTTACGTAGACTAATAGTATGTCAATAAAAAAATAAACCCGATTGCTCCATGTCAACTAATGTTTCAACGTGACTAACGGAAGTGGGGAAAAGAACTGTCTGTTTACTTTCTTTACAGTGCACCGGCCTGTCCATTTCGCTGGAGCCAGAGCAGATTCGTGAACTGGCACGGGAGATCAACCAAACCATCGCCAGCCTCACCGACATTGACGCCATTCTGCGAGAGACCGGCCCTGACCTGGCTTTGGCTAAAGAGCTCAAGGCACGAGCTGACTTGGCGAGGTGAATCCTATGTGAATAACACTGGGCTTGTTCATTCTGTCGCATCAAAGAAGGGACTACCCTATTTCACATCAGCTCTGCTATTCTGCTCTCAGATCTAACAAACAAGTGCTCATCCTTATTTTTTCATGATTAGCCCCAAATTCCTCGGTGGGTGCTTGCTCAGTATGTTACAGTAAATGCCTTGTTTTACAGCGATAGCTGTTACGGGGACTTCCCAGCTCTATTTGCGGCGTCGGTGTTGAGTCAGGGAGAAAACGTTGGTTCACTAAACACTCACACATGCACTGTCCCACGACGCAAGGCAAAGCGTGTGCACTTGGGTTTTGCAGGCGGCAGTGTCTTCTACTACCTCTACGGTTCGCAGTGAACACCGTCGCACATTTCTCACCGTCAAACTCTTATTTGCGTGTAATATCAGATGTGAAGCACCCCTCGACTCATAACGGTACCTGTCTCGATTTAGTCTAAGTGTTCACTCTTGTGTGCGCTGTGTTTCCTTTCCTACATATACTGGAGTGTCTACAAGGCTGTGCTGTTATCGAGTAAAAAAAGAGCAGATATGCAGGAAAGTGGCTGTTACTATGCATGATAAGAGTTATCGCTGTTACTTCTTTGCAGATCGGTGAAAACCTGCCGGTTATTTTAGTCCAGCCACCACTTCCCGTACCCCAAACATTGTGCCAAAGATTTCTGCCAGCCCGTTTACGCCCGTCGCTTTGCAGGGACAAAGCGAACAAGATCTTGGACACCGCCAAGAAGGTGCTGCAGAACCTGAATGACGCGGAGCAAGCTCAGGACCGTGCCAAGCAAGCCATCGAGAAGGCCAGGGACAACATCGAAGCGGCCGAAAAAGACCTCGATCAGGTAATCCAGCAGCGGGCAGAAATGCATGCATTATAATTCACTACAGTTGAACCTCGATTTAACGAAGTCACCGGGACCCACTAATTATTTCGTTAAATTGGGAACTTTGTAAAATCGCGGAAGGAAGACCTCGTGCGTAGGCTGCACAGGGAATCCGAATTTGTTCGTTAAATCGGGAACCGCATTTCCGCGTTTTTAAAATAAACCTGGATCGAAGATGGTGCCCCGAAATATCCAGAAGCGTTTTCTGAGCGGCGAGGCATCAGCCTGTAATTTAGGTGACCCCTTCGAATTGCGAATGAGGCTCGTCATTTTGGAGCACCGTCGCGGTACGACGTACAAGCTTCCAGTCGGGTTTGCGGATTTCGAAGTCGCTTCGTCTCGCCCTCCCATAGGGCCGCTGTCAGTGTCGCCCATTAGAGCCATTGCTAAACCTAATCTGCCAGTGGTATAGGCCTCTTTTGTCTACCCTCGTCCAGCCACATAGTTGCTGGTATGGGGGGGAAGGAAAAAATGCGACACCTTACAACTTGGAATGAGTAAAAGAAATATAGAAGAGGAGAAACAAGGAGCGACAATCACAATTTGAACACTTCTTAGCGAAATAGATAAATGGGCTAGTTGGTACATCATTGAATGGAAAGCGCCGAATGAACAAGGACGAAGAAGGGGACAGAGACAAAGCGCTTTGTCTCTGTCCCCTTCTTCGTCCTTGTTCATTCGGCGCTTTCCATTCAACTTCTTAGCGGTGTGGCCCTCGTGCCAGAAGTTCCGCAATTCAAGGTGGCGACGCCCTCGTGGAGGAGAGCTATACGAGGCAGGTGACCCCGATCGCCTGAAAGAACCGCATTGAAAAAAAGCGCTCCCTATGTTGCAACCGGGCGATGAGGAAGAAGAGAAGCGGCGGGAGCTCATGCATTTTGTAATTTTTATCAGTCTGAAAAACGAACAGTAAAGGAAAAGGTCGCACCGACTAGCGTAATTGCCTTCATATTCCTTGGTTCCTCAACATATGGTGCCGAAACCCGGGAGTGTTCCGCATTACAAGGGCCCAAGCTACACACCGCAGGGAATTTCAATCCTGCAGCTGCAACGGAATTCAGCAGTTCCTTGGCGGGAGCAGACCACTGGGAAAAGAACAGCGACGGAACCTTGGCAGGCGACCATACGGCCTCGTAAATATGAATAGTCAATGGAAAGGCTGAAGGCTAGGCGGTCGGCTCGACGGGCACAGAACACTAGGATAATGAATGACGCCAATCGAATTCTACAGGATCCCAGCCCCGACCTAGCAAGAGTGCGTTCGATCAAGGACAGACTCACTACCAGCAATGCAGAGCTCCGACTACTTGACGGTGAGATAGAGCCGCCAATTCCAATCCAAGAACTGGAAAGTGAGTGCACCGCCACTGCAGAATACCAAGACGAAGCCGTCATGGTGATCAGCGAGTTGGAAACCAAGATTGAATCCCTACAATCGCAGAGAATAATAGCTTCGGCGTCGAGCACCGGAAACCAAACCGGCATTCAAGACAACGCAGCGAGACGTGGACCAAAGCTTCCGAAGCTGGAGCTATCTACCTTCGATGGAGAGCTAAGCAACTGGCTCACATTCTGGGAGCAGTTTGGTGGAGCCATCCATACCAATGCAACTAACAACCACAGATAAGTTCCACTACCTTCGTCGGTGTCTAACGGGAGATGCTGCTGCGGCGATTGCCGGGCTACCAACAACAGAAATATGCTATGCCGAAGCGATCACCATCTTGCAACAGAGGTTTGGAGACCAGAGGAGAATAGAGCGGCAGCATCTGAATGCCCTCAGAAATCTACCGCACGTTGCTTCAGCTAATGACGTGAGAGGGTTGAGAAACCTGTATGACACCACACAACTCAACGTTCGGTGTCTAAACTCTTTGAATGTTCCCACGTCAAGTTTTTCAGCCATGCTCTGTGACACTCTTGTCAGGGCGTTGCCTTACGAGGTTACAGTGGAGTATCACCGGCAAGTCAACAACACCGCTTTCACTAACGCAGCGGCTCAAGACCAAGGAGACGGATCGGCGGCTGGAACTTCAAGGTCAGCAGATACTATGTCGGAGTCAGTGACCGAATTGAGTGGAATGCTTCGCTTCCTGCGCGTGGAAGTAGAAAGCCGAGAAAGAAGTAGCCTTGAGGATGCTCGAGGTAAACACGAGACAAAGGTAAAGTCGTTTGCATCAGCATCAGCTCTTCATAACGCAACAAATGCTACACATTCTCAGTGTTTTTTCTGCCATTCAAAGAAGCACACCACGCCATCTTGTGATTGCAGCAAACAGAGAGAGGAAAAATTAAGTGTGTTATCAACAGACTCCAGATGTTTCCGATGCACATTGAAAGGTCACCGAGCACGAGATTGCAGAAAAAACCTCAGTTGCGCAGTTTGCAGAGCCAGACATGCAACCACAATGTGCGATCCTGAGTTTGTTAGGCGGATGAAGGAACGTTCGCCCCAAGGTAACGATACGATTTGCGTGTCTGCATCCAGCTCGGGCGCGCACTCAGAAAAGAAGTTTAGTGACGGCATATATCTCCAGACGTTCAAGGCATTTTTAGTGACCAACGCTGGCAGCTGCTATGTCAAGGGAATAATCGACGGTGGCAGCCAGCGCACATTTATAAAAGAAAAGGTAGCGCAACGCCTAGGGCTGAAAGTCCTGCGGAGAACAAAGATAGCACTCAACACTTTCGCCAGTAATGCTTCGAAGGTTATAGAGCGCAGTCCCGTTGTGGAGGTAAAGCTCAAAAGTCAATTTGACAATACAGAAATAACCTTTGAAGCAATTTCCATCCCGGTCATTTGCCAGGACGTATCTACGCCAACAACTGACATCCCGTTTGTGCGATTTCTGCGAGAAAGCAGTAAGAATTTGGCAGACGACGTGATTTTCCCAGGTGTAAAAACAGTTCCTGGAATAAGTCTGTTGATTGGATCAGACCAGTTGTGGAAGTTCTGCACACGAGACGTGATCAGGTGCGCAGATGTGGACGGATTGGTAGCGATCAACACAAAGATGGGCTGGACGCTGCAAGGTCCTTCAAGACAGGTGGGAAGGCTCCTATGGGATTTAAGTCTGATGATATGTGTCCTACAAGCGAAGACAAAGGAAACCCAAGTGGAAGAGGCGCTACAGTCCTTCTGGGAGTTAGACAGAATGGGAGTTGCCGACAGTGAGCTCGGAGACACTGATGCAGACACCATTACACACTTTGAGCAAAACATCATTAAGAAAAACGGACTATACGAAGTGGCTCTGCCATGGAAAGAAGACGCTGTTGATATGCTGGCAAACAACCAGGAGGTTGCCATTTTACGTCTAGGGAGCTTGTTGAGAAGAATCTCACGAAGGGAGGGATTACTCAAGCGGTATGATCATGCAATGAGACAGTATTTGCGTGATGGGCATGCAGAAGTGATAAAGAGCAGAAAGGACAGCGACAGCGCGCAGGTCATGTATTACATGCCGCATAAAGAAGTAATACGTGAAGATGCAACAACAACAAAGTTAAGGATCGTCTTCGATGCATCTTCTCATGCCAAAGGGTGCAGGTCGTTGAATGAGTGCCTAGTAACAGGACCCAACTTGAACCCCGAGCTTCTGCAGGTCCTGCTTCGGTTTAGATGGTACTCAGTTGCAATGACCGCTGACATTGAGAAAGCGTTTTTACAAATAGCCATCCGTGAAGATGATCGTGATGCTTGTAGATTTCTTTGGTTTGCTGAGGAGCCAAGTTTCCCTTTCAACAAGGAAGAAATTCAAGAGTGGAGGATGACTCGGGTTCCTTTCGGATCCACGTCTAGTCCATTCATGCTCACAGCTACATACAACATCACTTGAAGTTGATCTGCGAAGAAGACCCACAATTAGCAGAGAAACTCAGGACATCTTTCTACGTTGATGATCTACTGCTCGGAGCCGACGATATTGAGGATGCCGTGAGGCTCTACCACACTTCCAGGAATGTCATGAGACAGGCAGGAATGACACTCCGGAAATGGACTGCGAACAATGAGCAACTGCAGGAGCGGTTCAACAAGGAGGAGCCAAAATTTATGACCGAAGAAAAAAGCCTCTCACCTTCACCAATCTCCAAGGTACTTGGAATGATGTGGGATCACGAAGGGGACTGCTTTATTTACAAAGTTGAAGCTTTGCTTGAATTCCTCTCAGCAAATGTGGACACTAAACGGTTCATCCTCAAGGCAGCCTCAAGAGTATTCGATCCTCTTGGATTGATCGCGCCCTTCGTCCTAACAGCTAAGCTGCTATTTCAGAAGCTGTGGACATTGGGAATCAGCTGGGATGAAGAACTCCCCGCTGATTTGATCACTGAATGGCACGCTTGGACGGCGGACCTTGTTCAACTGCACTCGTTAAGTATACCAAGACATGTCAAGCGAGGCATCCAGGCAGGAGCCAACAAAGTACAGCTACACGTCTTCGTAGATGCAAGCACGAAAGCCTACGGATCTTGTGCGTACTTTAGAACAGCCGATGACCAAGGAAAAACAGCTACCATGTTAGTTGTTGCGAAGACAAGAGTGGCACCGATAAAACCTTTATCACTGCCTAGGTTGGAGCTGATGGGGGCGAATATTGGAGCCAGACTCCTACGATACATAAAACAGTCATATTATGACGTGGAACTTGATTACATTATGTGGACTGACTCAACGGTTGCCCTCAGTTGGGTGAGAGGAGTCCCTGAAAAATGGAAGCCATTTGTAAAAAACAGGGTGGCAGAGATACGCGTCATGACATCCCCGGACCACTGGAGGCACTGCCCCAGTCAAGAGAATCCGGCGGATCTCTTGACCAGAGGACTAGACGTTCAGGAGCTTCGTGCTAACTCTCTTTGGTGGAAAGGGCCGAGTTGGCTGAGTCAAGAACCTTCAGAATGGCCTGAATCTTCAGTGTTCTTGGAAGACACGCCTCAACTCGAAGTAAAAGAAGAGA